CCAGCCTTTTCAAAAGCAGCCCTTTTGATAACACTGATTACATTCGCCTCACTAGAGCCTGGGGTGATTGAGCAACAGCCAACTTCTCTAGGTAACAAAGAGGAGGGAAAGTAATCCAAACACAGGTTTTATTATAAAAACCAGGGAGTGAGAGAAGTATGTTTATTCTGTAAGATAACACACCTGCTCTGTGCTGGGAGGCTCATTTCCATCAGTTGCCATGGCAAACTGGTTATACTTCAAGGCCATGTGGCTTTGTTTCCTTTGGAGATCTGGTCCTTGTCCTACCTTTTCTAACAACTCCAACACAATGACATGGAAGCCTGCAACAGCATAATTGATTTCTCCTTCCCTCTATCAACAGTTCGCATTTGTTCGGCACAGAACTGAGTCTGCCTTCTCCTTTGAACTCCTTGCTAACCATGAAGGCATGCTTCAGAGAGCTATCCTCATTAACATTCCAGGTCCCTCTTCCCTGTCAGCAATAAACAAGCCCTGCATCAATGGCCTTCTTCCTTCCAGCTTTACAAATGAGTGGCTCAGTTCCATGTTTTACTGCGGATCCAGGTGCCCAGGCATACAACGCTGGGCTAAGAAGCACGCAGGAGAGTCTAAAAATAGAACAGCAGTTTTGGACGCATACCAGAGCAGCTACTTCATCTCAACTTGCTTTGCACACTAAGCCTAATGGGATCCATCAGGCGGGAGTTCTCTTGTGCACTCTCTCTCACCGCCTTTCCCCTCTCTCCCCAGCTGCCTTCTACCATCAGCACCTTCCTGGTGAAGGGAGCAAAGGGAGGTCAGGCAGGGTTCAAAAATAGTGTGCCCTCATGGTTTTAGTTTACAAGCCCCGAGAGACCTGGGAGCTGCAATTACTCCTTTCTTGAGAGAATTTCTAGAAAAGAACAGGAGGCCCAGCACACGGTCACCTTTGCCCATGTACACTTTGGTCCAAAACCAAGACTGTCATATTTAGCAAAGGCTCAAGTAGCATTTCCTAATCTCTCAAATAAATGTGACCTAGGCCCATACTTACAGATTCCTTGAGAAGTTAAATAGAAAACTTGACTAAACTGACTATTCCTCTTAAAGGTACCACCTGCTTGGCTTGAGGCTAAGAACTTGAGATCAAATACACAGTCACATATGGAGGGACTGTCTAGGGTCTGTGAAAGCCACCCTCCTTCCACCAAGTATCCTAATGCTATCCTGCCTGGGCACAAGGCCTCTCAGAATGCCAACTGTACTAAATAAGCAAGGCTCCTTTGTGCTGTGGATACACCTCATGATAAAGAATACTGATCACAGAAAGAGACTTAGCATGACCCGAGTATTTCTTCTATTACTATCTGCAAGATAATGCAGATGTTCCAAACAGGGATGTATTATTCCAACAAGTGCCACCCTTGTAGAGTCAGAGTATGAGAAAGATTGAGTATCACAGAAACTAAAATATAAACCCCTTTTTCATTTTAATTGTTTTGGAGATTAGCCAGATACATTTTTAAAAAATTGATCCAACAGCAGATTTTGTCTACTAGCTTTGTGATGGTGTTAAGGCCTTTTAAGTTATAACTTGGTTTCACATAATACCATTACAAAACAAATATGCCAAACCACCTCAAGAAAAGCCATCCTCCATATAATCAGCAATAATTAATTCCCCTAAGAATTTCTCTCAGAACAAGTTGCAACACGATCATTTAATCCTCCAGCCACCAGAGGACAGAGGTACATCTTCCCTCAGGCCCCCCACATTCGTTGACAACGTTTCTTTTACCTCAGGGAGATCCTGGGTCATTTGTTGAACAAATTTCTCATCAAAATCCAGAAAGCTTTCTAGGTTTGCCAATCAATGGCTGCAGTCTAGGAACCAGAACACCTGGGTGTTAGCCCTAGCTAAACTTTGAGGAGCCACAGTTTCCCTGGGCCCTGCTTTCCTCCCATGTAAAGAAAAGCTTGGTGCTGGAGGGGTGGGGGGAATGTGATTTCTAGGGTCCCTCCCAGACTGAGAATTCCATGATAGAAATAAAGGCTCTGAGAATGTCATTATTTTGGTCCTTGCTTTCTTCCTTGTATTTTGTTGTTTATTTGGTCAGTAGTCTCATACAGAGCTCTTTATCTTGAAAGATAGTGTGTAATTTTTTTTTTAATATTTTTATTTTTTAGTTTTCGGCGGACACAACATCTTTGTATGTGGTGCTCAGGATCGAACCTGGGCCGCAGGCTTGCCAGGCGAGCGCGCTACTGCTTGAGCCACATCCCCAGCCCCGATAGTGTGTAATTTTTCAGGATGAAAGGCATTGCTTCTTTGGGGTATTTTCCCACAGAGTAACCTTCCTTCTCTTTGCATTTTCTACTAGGAGGTGAGTTTCACTGATTCTTCTTGGTTCATTAAGAAGAAACAGAAAGATCCTGTGTTTTGTGAGACTCTTTCTGGATCATTTCCCAATGATCACAGGACTTTGCAATCCATTTGGCAAAGGTGATGGTGACAGTGGGGTATTTGGCAAAGTAGATGAGGTAGTTGACGAAGTGACTGGGCTAAGAAAAATGCTCTTGGCAAAACATCATGAAACAAGGATGGAATGTTCAAAATGGGGAATTTGTACCCCTTGCTGAGATGTCTGAGAAAAACTCCCCTTTAAGAGGTGATATATTTAATAGAAAACAAAAGGGTATCAACAACAGTAATTTTTCGGAGCACTGAGTGAGAAATAACTAATCTAATACTTTGGGTCTAGCCGTGTACCAAGACATCTTTGAACAATATAGAAGTTAAATTAAACTAGACAGGCAGATATTTTCTGAAACCAGTTACAAAAATTAAATATTACCTTTAAAATTCTAAATTAGTCACTAAATATTAGACAAGAATCTAAACTGGCATCAAAAATCAGTTTCGATTTGAATAAAGCCTCGGGTTTAAGAGGTTATTTTTTACTAAGTCAGCCCTACCCCACGTCCACCCCCAAAATATCAGCAGATGGATACATGAAGACCAGGATAAAGTCTAAATAAACCATGTGTTAATCTGAGTGTCAGCGCTCTAAAATAGTTGTTAAAATTCCTTTGATGTTGGTGGTCATCACATTTCATAGAAATTTCAGGGACCAAGCTGCCATCACTTGGCTAGGTGGTGCGCGTGCCTATGCATGCTTAAGTGCTTTTTGTTGTGTTTTGTTTTGTTTTGCAACCAGTGGTACCAGCTGTAACACTTTAATGACTATTTGTGGAACACCAGGGACCTTTCTTTTAACCAGCTGGGATAGGAGGAATAGAAGAAACTCATGGATGAGAGGTCTTTGAAGGGAAAAGGGGGTAATAACATCCAAATTATTAAATCTTTGCAAACTAGAAACAGTTCAGAGTAATAATTGCTGATATCATTTTATTTACATATGTGTAGAATCCTTAATAATGGTGTCACCTCAAGCCAAAAAATAATAATAATAATAAAAAGAGAGAAAGAAGTTTTATGAGTCTGTTTGGGATGTTTTCTAGGAATTTCAAGTTGACCAAACAAGAAAGTTTACTAGGTCTCAAATGCTACAGAATTAAAGACTCTTATCAAAAGGTCTTGCAAATGGGTAATTCAGTTATGCTAGCTTTTCTCTTCCTGTAGTCAGCTCTACCCCACTTCTACCTTACTAGGGTGTCTACTACGTAAGTTAAAGACATTTAACTTACCTAGTAGACATCTAAATTATATAATAAAACTAGTATGCCTTGTAATTCATTAGCAGTATTTCTTATTTATAATGGACATATATGTGGTGACATATAAAGATTGAACTGTGTTATTACAAAGTTGAGACTTGTTTAAGAGGTTAAGGGCACAGACAAGAAGAGCAGTTGGTCATTCTCTGATTGGAGATGGCCCATTCTCTCTTTTCAGAGGGTGCTGTGCTTGAGCCTTACTTAGCTTTTACTTTATCTTCATCTCACTTCAATTCTGCTGTCACTTATAATAAAGTTCTTTTACATGGCCTTTAAGGGGATAAAAAAGAGGAAGCAGTAGTTTCCACTCCCCAAAAGTCTTCATATCAACCTACTATTTGAGTCATAAAGCCTTCCTACCTTGCTAATTTATTTATTTAGATTTTATATACATGTATACGTATTTTGTCTAAACACATGTGTATGGATTCTTTTGAGATCAGATAAGCTATATACATATATATGAATAAATAAATACATTTACAAGATTGTTAACTTGTTATTTTTGAAGATATTAAAAAAGACACGGTTTCTCTTAAGAAAATGGATGTATTAATATGTACAATTTTTATATTTTTATGTATTAGTTAACAATAAATTTACTTTAAAAGGAAAATGTAAATTTATCTCTTGGGGGTTTTAATTATGAAAATAAAAACTCAGTCACTCCTCAAAAGAGAACTTAGAATTTAGGCCCCAGACCTTAAACCTTCTGGGGTCATTAGAGGGATCTTTGTCCTATCATTTTACATATGAATTCCCAGAGTCTCAGAAAAGTGAAAGAGGACTTGCCAAAGGTCAGTCTGGTAGTTAGTGACAAGATCAAGACAGTGTTAGGACTAAAATTAGAAGACAGGTTTCCTAAACTACATCTCTGGCCTGCATTATGCATCCCCTGTCACTTTATACACATACTCAAATATTTTTACATATATTGTCAGACCTTAAGAATGATAACCACACTCTTTTTTTGGTTTGTTTGATTTTTTTTTCTTCTTTTTGCTCTACCACTGAGCTATACCCCAGCCCAGTGATACTGTTCAGAATCATGGTTGTGTCCTATACAAGGTTGTTTTATTTAAAAATTTCTACTGTAAGAATAAAGCTTTCATAATTATGTTTAAAAGGAGTTTTTACCTGGTTTTCATTCTTTAACACAGAGAAGTCTGTTACATTTATCTAATATTATATTTAAGCAACTTTGTTGATGTCCCAGGAAGCGACTGCCCATATCATTATAAATTAGTATCTATCTCCTTTGAGATAAGTGAAACACACTCTTACAAAAAAGCAAATATTTTATTATTTATACATGAATCAGTTTGATGTGAAGACACTCAAACATCTGGCTAATTCATAAAAGTAGCCTGAAGCAATGGGAGTGTGTTTGTGGTCATTTACATTTGTTACAACATTACTTACATTATCTAGTCGCTAAGTACTGAGGGGCACATCAGATGGTTAGAACACATCAGACATTCCCACCTTTGGTGGGGAATGGAGTGCAACAAGTCACAAGGGCAGATATTCTGCAGTACTGGTTTTCTGGGGTCTGAGGGCCTCAGAGGGAGGGAATGAGAAACAAATAGCTGTGAGTGCCACTGACCAGCCTCAGCCACAAGAATGCTGTCAAAACAGGGCCCCAGGCATGGCCAGACTCCAGTGGTCTGGGAATGGCCCCTATCACAAGGGGACCACTTGAAGGGTGGGCAGGGGCCCCCGGGGAGGAGCCACATACTCTTCTTCTCTGAGCAGCCGCAGCAGGATGTTTTTTTTATTCTTGGGCCAGCTGTAGACATGAGTGTTCTGAAGCCAGGTGGGCACATGCTCCTACAGGAGAGACAATGACAAAAGCAAAGGTCATTAGAGAAAAACCTGGATTCCAGATCCCAGGCTTGGTTCCCAAACATCTCTGGCTTTCCCTTCATGGGCGTTTCCTACTGAACTATCCTGGGAGTTGTTCTGTTTTGCTTTTGGAAGGGTCTTAGCATGTGCAATGCTCTTGGCTTCGGGTGCAAGCTGTAGATCTCATTATGGAAAACACATGTGCACAGCATTTTCTGTCAGTCTCCCAGGCTACCTGCCCTTTGCATTTCAACGTGCTTTTCACCACCTTCACATAAAAGGGGTAGGACAGAGGTCACACAGAGTGATGTGAATTCCCCCGTGACTTCAGGAGAAGCATGCCAAGGCTGTGGGCTTAATCTAATTCATCATCCTTTCACTTCAGCCCCAGGTCTGGCCTGCAGTAGAAGGAGCCCATCAGACTCGTGTTGTCAGGCAAAGGCAGAAACTGAGAGCCTGGGGTTCTGGGAGCTCAGTTTCTGACTGCCCTCATGGAGCGGATGTTCTGGCGGGTAGAGGCAGATGATTAGTAAGTAAAATGGGTAGGGCGGTCAGTAGTAATGTGTGTTGTGGAGTAAAATAAAACAGAAAGAGGAGAGGCGGTGCTGAGGCAGGGGTGAAAGGTTTGCAGTTTTAAATAAGATGCCTAGAAAGGTCTCCCTGAGAAAATGAGCAAAGACCTAAAAGAACAGATGGACAGAGCTTTGTGGTTGTCCAAGTCCAGGCAACTAGAAAAGCAGTGCAAAGGCCCTGAGGTGGGCTTCCACTGTGACTGGAGCAGAGTGAGCAGGGGAGGAGGATGTGGCAGGGCCTTGTAAGGCCTATGGCTTTACTTTGAGATGGACTCCTTTGGGGATCCTAGGATGAGCTTAGAAACAGCACCTGGTATGTCAGGCATCATTTTGAGTTTTGAAGAGAGACAATGAAAAAGAGCCCATAACTGCCCTTTGGAGTTCAAAATCTTCTTTGGAGATAAAGTACATAAACTATTTTCTAGGCAGTGGCATATCAAGGGGCAGTGGTGAGAGCCACCTGTCCCCAGTTCTGGCAATAAGGGGATTTAAAAATAATAATAAAACCAACTAGAAGTTGGTCTATTTTATATTGCCATACTCCAGTTATCTTAACAATAATTCCCAGTACCCCCAGCCCCAACCACATACCACTGATTCAAGAAAGACCAGACAATGAAATATATCAACATGGAGAGGAGAGGTCTCAGGGGACCCTAGGGAGGTTGAGTGATATAAGGATAAGCAAGGATTCACTCAGCTGACAAGTTAGTTAAGGGCATTACATGTAGAAAGAACAGAAAGGGCAAAGACATAGACATGAAGGGACATGTCATATGTGAGGGCATGCTGACATGGTCCAGGGTCCAAAGATAGAACATAGGGTAATAAGAAAGAAGACTGAGCAAAGTGGGCACCATCTTTTTCAGAGTGGCCCCATATATGACATGACGCTAAGAAACATAGGTATGATCTTTTATTCTGTGGGAAAATGCCACATTTTTAAACTGGAGAGAAAGACAGATCAGGTGTACATTTTGGGGTGTTCCTCTTTGGTGATAGAACAGAGGATGACTGGTATCGGGTCATAGTGGAGATGGGAGACCAGGAAGGAGACTTACCAGAACAATGAGGGTCTGGGCAAGGGAGGGTCAGGGAGGATGATAAGGCATCCTACGGTACAGGCTGTTTACTGTACAACCCTACATGTCCCATTCATATAAACTGGACCCTCCCTCATCCAGAGCAGAGAGGTCTCAGTGTAGTCCTCACATCTGGGGGTCCTCCAGAGTGAGCTGGGTTTGGGTTCAGGGTGCTGTGGTCTGATTCTCAAGATGTTTATTTCACTACCACCTTTCCTTTGCCACGCCTGGAACATACTCTCCCATGGTTTTGCCCCTGTTCTCTCAACCTGTTGGCATCCCCACATATGAAGTTAGCATATAGCAAAGTTAATTTCAGGTAACCGTAGGTTTAATTCTCTGCCGCTTTGAGAACTGAACTATGTACAACAAAATGCTTATGTGGAAGGAAGTTAGCAAAAATGTCCACATCTTGACTCTTACGTACAAGAGATAAGAAGCATCAGATGAATGTTCTTTTTTGAATTTAAACTCAAGCTACCTCTTTTTGTTACGGGGCTGTTTGAACAATTAGGACAGCCTCAATCCTATCAGACAACACTTTAAACCTTCCTGATCCATGCTGCCAGAGTGAATGGTACAACTTGTTGATCTTTCAGGTAATACTCTTTTCTCTAAGGATCGACAGAGAGTTGACAAGGTTTTCCACTTAAATTCCCAGGTGGCAAACAAACCAGAAATTGAATTGTAAGGCTTCTTGTTTCTTCATTTGTTTACCTTCGTGGCATTTGGGAAGAGTACAGGGATGAATCTGAAATTCATGCTTCCTTGTTTTATGAATTCAATCTGCATCTGAAATGAAACAAATAGAAATGTTTAATTTCAGGGAAAGAGGAGGGATTAATTGTACCCACAACAATGCAGGCCCACATGGTCATTTTATTTCAGTTTTCTTATTTGAGTGCCACATACTTATACCTTTAAACCCTCCCCATTAGAAACCATGCCATCTACTTGTTTATCAATCATTCATTGAAAGCCTATTAAAAGTCACATTTTCTGGGATTTAAGGACTAGGATATACTCTAGAGTACTGGAGCTGGCTAGTTTGTATCTTTTCCCAATTCTGTGTTCAGTGGTTTTATTTTAGTAGCTTGAAAGTGTCCATGGTGAGAGTATTTATCCCAAGAAAATGAGTAAGCACTACAAATCCAGACTTTTTATTTTTTAGAACAAGTTTAGCAGACCACTGATGCAATCCCTGTCCTCCCAAAGCCAGCAGTCTATTAAGCAGACAGATAAGGTACCAACCAGAGGGCGGTGCAAAAAGTATGAATGTTTGCTGTGGAAGTCCAGAATGGGGGCTATCCATTCAGCATCAAGAATTTTAAAGGCCAATTACAAGGGAGAGGACATTTGGGTATGGAAGTAAAGAAATTGTAGCCAGCTAGGGAAATGGGGAAAGCAAAAGGACAGTCACAGCCCAGGACAGAGCATGGGCACCGCTCTGGGGTGTGGAAGCATGTTAATGTGCAGTCCATTGTGGCTGGAGTGTGAGATGTGTTTGGCAGAGAGGGAGGGACATGGTTGGGAGGTCAACTGTGAAGAGCCCAGGCAGCCAGGCCTGAGGTTCCCACTCAGTTCAGTTTGTTCTCACACTGTGGTGGCCCAAGAAGATTTAGCTGCCAGGACTCTAGCAAAATCAGAATTTTCAATAGCAGGGGAGTTAGATGCTTCCAAATCCCATGACCAGTATACGCTTTCAGTCATCTGATGACAAGAAGATGAGAAATTATGTGCTCCCAACTATTTTATCTTCCAATTGATTTTTATAACTGATAAGTCTTCATCATGCATGGGAATAAAAACAGAAAAGAAGAAAGTGGCAGTAGTGATAAGTGGTTTTGAAATCACCATAGAAATCCTTATTAAATACTCTCTCTCTCTCTCTCTCTCTCTCACACACACACACACACACACACACACACGCCCACATACATCACAAAACATAAATCTACCACAAGGTGTTTTCTCAGAATCGCCTCCCTTCAAAAATCAGAAGATAACGCCAAAAGTATATTTTAAGTTAACCCAAGTACTATGCAGCTAACAGTACCAACCACACCAGCACAGAGTAAATACATGAAAAGATGGGCACAGAGTTAAAAGAAGTAGGTTTTGTTTCTGACTGCTCAGACACAAACTGTGAAGTTTGGTTTGTCCACTAGGCTACCCAGTCTGTTGAGGGACTAGCCAGCAGCAGTGCATTTTAATTTTCTTTCACTTTCTGGATGTTGGCTTTCTCTGAATAGCTTGCCCTGTCATGCAGCTACTTGTGGGTGCCTTTTCATTCCTTTTGTCATGGTCAAATTCTTATTGTCCCAGGTTTTCTGGCACCTGGTGAGGTTCAGCAAGTCAGCCAGGTGGGCAGGAAGGCGCTTCTGCATCTGACCTATTCAGCCCTTTCTGTGATGAGGAAAGGCCCAAGACATTGATGCCCAAGAAACCAAGTTTGGAGATATGGTGCTTACAGCTGGTGTAGTCAGCCACGCTCTGGAGTTGAGCTTTGCCACATACCCGCAGAGCTAGACAGATCTCCTCAGGAACTGGCAGAGACCTGGAGCCCTTCCCACATACCAGCTATCAGCTCCTGGGACTGGCAGGTTCTTAGAAAAGCAGACAAGACATCAGGTGTTCTGGGAACATGCAGATGTGCTGCAGCCAGCCCAGAGATGGCAGCACCCTGAACCAGCTGTGACCTTTTAGGTGAATTTACTTCCAGAAACATACCTTTTTTGAGCCCTGCCCATGCACTGACAGACTAGGTGAGACTGGAATAGAAGGGAGACTTATCTCTTGACTCTTGGCCTTATTTTTTAACCTCACCACCATGCTTTGGCTTTTGCTTTGGGATGGTTGTGAGCAGTCCACACGGTAAAAGAAGAGATATAAAACCTGAAGACTCAGATAGGGAACACCCACTAATGCACCCACCCTGCTCCCTTCCCATGTTCCTGACCCACAGAACAGAACTGGGATTTACCTTTGCTTCCCCTGAGATAAAACTATGTCCTGAGACTGCCTGACTGCTTTCTGTATCATGCTGCTCACTTATTCCATCTGGACCACTTCTGCTTCCAGTCCCATCTGCCCATCCTAGTCAGTGATTCTCTATGCCTATTTCAGGTGCCCCCCACCCTCTCTCCCTGGGCAGTGTTACAGCTGAAATGGAGCTTACAGAGTTCTAGTCCAGTGATTTTTCACACCTTTTTAAATCTCAGAATCCTTGGAAACAAGCAAGCTGAGAAACACAAACCAGTTCTGGCTGAGGTGCCGACGGGAGGCCCAGAGCCAGCCCCACCCCCAGGACATATGGGAATCCATTAGAGACGCCACAGGACAGTTTGAAAGTCACAGGTCTAGTCTGGCTTCCTAGCCAAGCAGAAATTCTCCTCAGCGCATCTGAAATCACCAAGAGCAAAAGGATTGCTGGCCATAAAACAGCCAGTTCCAACGCTGGGTGATATATTTGCCCAGAATGTTCTCTCAGATGCTGAGCAAGTTTAATTCCCTCTAAATTTCTCCTACTGTTTTTTATTCCATCAGGCCCCATGGTGCAGGTATGACAGTGGAATGATTCCCCACCTATCGTGAGCTAAGAACAATTCCCTGTGAGTAAGCATCTGATATGTGCCAGATACTTCACAACCATTACTTCATTTCATCTTCACGACACTGCTCAGTATTAGTGATCCATTTTATGAATAGGGATAGGGGCACAAGAAGATTTAAGCAGTTGGGCCATGGTGCTTTAGGAAGCCAAATTTGAACAAAGTCTTTCTGATGGAACAGCATGTGTCCTTTCCACTACGCCACCTGCCTCTCTGAAAAGGCAGGGGACCAAATATGACACAGCTGCAGGAGCCCTCTCTCCTCACAGCCCTGTCTCCACCCTCCTAAGGAATTCTCATTTCTTGGTAAGCAGCCAAGCCAGCAGAGTACACTTTCCAGAATCTTGGCTCTCAGAGATCACAGCGATCTCCCCTTGTCACTGATGAGAACTGAGTCCTATCAGAGGCATGGTGACTCACCAGGGTCTCAAAGGTAGATGGAACCTCGACTGATTGTCCCTCTCCTGACCTGGTAGACCTGGGATTCATGCTGCCTTCAGTTGGTCCCAGTGAAGAACTGATCTTCCCTGGAGAGAGAGCCCATCCCTGAGGGACGATGAGGCCCTGTGGTCCCTCACCACTCACCATTCGATGAATGTACTTAGTATGTAAGCCATGCTCATCCTCGTCCAGCTGCGACTCAGCGCCTTCCACATCCTGTTTGTATTTGGGGCTGATTGCTACGATTATCATCACTGTCTTCTGTTAATGAGAGGGAGAGAAGTATGTTTATGGAAGTGGGAAGTGTGGTCCATTTGGTGAAGGCTGGCTGGAAGCTGGCCAGCAAGACTGTGTGCATTCCCTGACCTGCTCACAGATGGAGGGCCAGCCTCCATCTCCATGGAAAGTGAAAAGCACTGGCCCCGACTCAGGCACGCCGTTGTCTCCACTCCTCCCCACTGCCTGCCTGCCCAGCTCCCTAGCAAAGGGCTCAGAGAAGAGCTCTCTTGTGCAGATGTGGTTTGCCCACCATTTTCCACAACCATCTCTAATAAACAGCTAATGAAAGCCTGAATCACTGAGTGAGCCTGCAAAAAAAGGCGCTGCCGCCAGATGATGGAAAGATTTCCCCCTCCCCGAAGCTGGATCTGAGCTATCAGTTTCTGTACTCTCCACTGCCCTGCTTTCCACGTCCGCATTAGCACAGTCAGTAGGAACAGACTCTTCAGCACAAAGCAAACATCAGGCTGCAGACAAAGGGAAAAGCTGCAAAACCCAAGCCTGCTGAGATCCCGTCCCCCACCGGCAGCCGCCCAAAGAAGCGGCCATGGACAGGGACACACTGGCAGCAATCAATTTCTATCTTGTTAAAGCACAAAGTGTCCCAGTGGCTGGTATAGATTCTGTCAGCAGAAAACAGATCACGAATCAAGGGGCTGCGAGTGGGAGCCTTGGGGCAGGGTGCTGCAGCTTTAAGGCTGCAGGGAAACCTCTTCAGTCCAGTCCTACAGAACACTTGGGGCGCCTTGCATTCAATTGAATTCTGCTCCCTCCCCACTCCCTGCCTTCATTTCCTCCTTTCCTCTTCTGGTCTAGAAATTGTTTGCTCTGATTGTTATCAACCACCTGTGTCTGGTTTGACCGTTATTTCCTGCCTATGCATGTCCAGGAGAGTGACCCCATCCTTCCTTTCCAAGTCTCTGCAGGACTTCCAACAAGGGAGGCTTTGTCCAGACTTTTTCAGCTCCACACTTGGGTGCATATGCCAGTGCTTCTTCCGTGGGGGGGCAGGGGGAGCCTCACAAGCTAAGCTAATTGTCTTATTCGCCAGCAAAAGTTCTCAGAATTTTGGAATGTACTTACATCCCGAAGGTAACGCTCCATCCATTTAATGATATCAATACCTCGGATTCTATCTTCAAATATATCAATCTACAAAAGAAAAATGTGGGAGGTGGCCCTTAATAAGTTTTCTCTGGATATAGAGTTTGAGAAAACACAAGATGTTATACACATTTACAACTCATAAAGTTACTGGAACTCAGGGCCTCACACATACTATGCAAGCCCTCTACCACTGAGCTATATCACCAGCCCTAATTATGTTTTTGCAAAACCTAAGAGACACAGTATACCACTAAATTGGATGTAAACCAACAATATACTATATATTACTATACACACACACACATTTGAAAGACAAACATAATTCTGGAACATCTTAATGAATATGTATCATGCAAGTGCTGAGAGACACACTGTGGTACTTTACTTGCATTAGTCAGCTCATTATTATGGTATTATGTCCAGATCCAACATATACGTTTCAAAATTATTGTATGAAACTTGGAGCAGATCCAAGGAACTGTCACAGAAACAACTACTGAGATGGTAGGGAAAGGTTTATGATGGGAGTCTCTTGACTTTCATCTTAGTAGAACTCTTGGGCCTTGACAAGACTGATATTTAGTATTGGCCTTCAAGCCTTTGAAGGGGTATATAAAGAGGAGAAAAACAAAATCTGTTATTTTCTATTTTACCGAAGACAAATAAGAGGGCCTTTCTTAAGCTCAGAATTGTACTGCAGCAAGGTGTGTGTGTGTGTGTGTGTGTGTGTGTGTGTGTAAGGTGTTCCTGATTGGAAGGAGGATTATATACCAGAAAGGGGACTTAGGGGAAGAGTCCTTGGAGAGGGTTTATTTGATTCAGCCATATTGCTCCCAGATTAATTGTCCTAAATGTCACTCTGCTGTTTAAGTCCATCAAGTCAAGTCCTAGCCACTCATCAGGCTTCCTGTGTCATCTATGATCCATTCTTGTGTCCTCTTTCCCCACATGCTCTATTACTTTAATCTCCATGTTGGTGGCCCCTGTACCCTAAAAGTGTAACACATGTCCCCCGCTCTGTGAATCTTTCTTACATGCTGACCTCCTCCTCCTCACTTCATATAATTCTCCTCCATTGTGACCAATAATGGTACTGAACAATCAACAAACTAATAAAGTATTCTTCCATTCACTGAATGTCTCATTTATGTAAGCTTTCTATGAAAAGAGATCATTTAGCCAGGCACAGTGGCTGTGCCTATGATTCCAGCGATTCAAGAGGCTAAAGCAGGAGAATCTTATGTTTGAGGCCAGTCTCAACAACTTAGCAAGACCCTGTCTCAAAAAGTAAACAGGGCTGGGGGCATAGTTCAGTGATAGAATATCCCCAGGGTTCAATCAACAAAACAAAACAGAAAAACAGAGAAAGATCATGCCATGTGTTCACTGAATTCTCAAATACATAGGGTACATAATAAAAGTTCCTTTTCTTATGGAACATGAAAAATGGAATGGCTTTCCTTTTGGATTGGGATGATTCTGTTTTAAAATGTGTGCTGGCCAATGACAACAGTAGGTAATCTGTTAAAAGCTTTTGTACCTCCCTAACTCTATCAATAATCCATTTTCATTGTGTAAGAGAGAAGCAATACAATGTCAGGGTTGAGAAGAGATGGGCTGCATGGATTCTACTCTTTCTCTGCCACTTCCTACCTTCATAACTTTGAAATGTTACCAAAACTCTTCCAAGTTTCATTATCTTCATTTGCAACATGTGGCTAATCAATCTACTTTCTATGGTTGTGAGTATTAAAATGACTTATTATGGAAAAGGCATATCATAATGCCAGGCATGAAGTAACCACTCAAAAAATAGTAATTATTATTATCCCAGCACCTGCTATTGAGGTGGATACAATGTGGCAGATAGCTTTCATTTACCTATCCAGATTTCTACCAAAATACACACAGCTGCAGTTACAGACTGAGTTGTGTCCCCCCGCTAAATTTATTTTAAACCCCAGTACTTTAGAATATGACTGTATTTGGAGACAGAGCCTTTAGGAGCTAATTAAGGTGATAGGAAATCATAGAGGCATACCCTACTTGCAACAGGACTGGTATCCATGCAAGAAGAGGCGATTAGGACACAGATGTGTGCATACAGAGGAGAGACCACATGAAGACAGAGAGAGGGGATGGCCTTCTATAAGCCATGGAGAGAGGCCTCGGGATGAAACCAATCCTGCTGTAACCTTTAGCTTACACTTGCAACCTCCAGAACTGTGAAAGTACGTTTCTGTCATATAAGCCATCCTGTCTGCAGAACCTTATGGCATCCTTAGGAAACTCATACAGCACCCCCTTCAGGTTCCGGTCACCATTGCTCCCTTGCCTCTTCAGACCTAGGGGCAATAATTACTCCCTGCTTTTGCTAGTGCTAAGATATTGTACTAATCCCTTTGGAGTCCCTAAAACCTACCCAGAGACTTGGGTAGGTTATTGAACTTCCTTTATTGAACTCTCCTCAAATTACCCATGAAGTATTTCATCCCACTACCACAGTCTTAATGTATCAATAGTAATATAACTGTCCAGATCTGGGCTCTGTGATTCTACCACGAGATTTCCCTGGATGAGGGTCAAGATCAATTTAAATTTTGCCTAAATAGCCTTGATTGTTAAGGTCAAAAAAGTCTGGGCTTGTCTTAAGGGGCAATTAGTATGTATATATTTGGAAAAGATTAAAAATAGAATTTCTTCTTAAATATTGATCTTATATCTTATAATTTGATTTTATGTCACGGTGGCCACACCTCTTTTTTACTTTAGAAATGAGAAAGGGATGTGATGGTCTCTACATAGTCATGAAGTTGTATTGTATAAATTTTCAGCATTTTTTTAACTTTTAGACACTCCTGTTTAAAAAACATTTATAGAATATAGAAAACTTCCAATAAAAACTGTTAAGCAATGCTAAGTAATCTTTTTATGCTTTACTTTCTAAGTATTCTTCTGTATCCTCCAACATTCTTACTTACCACTAATTTTTCACCACTCTCTAGAATTCATTGCCACTGAATACCTAAAAGAGGCTTAGGGAGGAAAAGAAGTGATTTCAGGGTTTGAGAAAAGCCAGTTCTCCAAGTGGCATCCTGTGGCATTTTATTTATCCTAAGGAAAAACTTACATGGCTTTAAGCTGTGTTGTTTCAGGCGATGGTAGGGGGACAGAAGGAGTATAAGCTTGAGAGTCCTTAGGCCAAGATCACAGTGGACCTGCAGGTCTGGATTAGGTCTGCCTGCTCTAGACTTTGACTAGACCAGCCGAAAACCCAGCCGTAGACTCCCTGTCCCGGAGCTTCACTGTATGTCACTGTGTGAAGGGGCAGCTGTGTGCAGTGGGGGACCCAAGTAGCCAGGGTTCTACTTCAAACCTCATGGCCAGTGCAGAACAAAAGAACCTTGTTAAATAAGCAGGTTGCTGTGGTGAAGCCTGTGGCTTCCTGCATCACAGGAAGCATAACCAAAGTGGACATGATTGGTCAGAAGGGGCAAAGGTACAAAGTGCAGCAACAACCTGCCTTTCTTCCAACCCAGAGCCAGCTGCGTATATGGTGGGCATTATTAGCATGATTCTTGCTGTTTGGAGTACTCACGCTCACTCCAAAAACATAAAGGAAAAAAAAATGCTGGAGACTTTGCATAGTTTAAAATCTAGACATTAATTACCTAAATTCATAATCATTTAACTCAAAACCACAAAAATAAAAAAATATCACTTTAAACATTAATGTCTATTTATACTTTTGCTTCAAATGATTTTCCTTATCATTGTTCTCACTTCAGATATTCACTTTTCTCTTTGGTTAAAATACATACCGCAGTTTGGAAGCCATTTACCAACAAAAAATTCACAAATTTCACCACCTCCATGGCTGTATCCATAGAATAAGTGATAAAGACTTTCCCTAAGAGAAAAAAAAATTCACATTTATTAGAAACATGTCAAATTATATTTTATATAATATAGTGTAGTGTAGTATATTCTATACTACACTTGTAAATTGTACACAACATCTTCTGTACTTCTGGAATAATAAGGGAAACCTCCGAGTGAGGGTGGCCTAAGGGTTTAAACTTGCAGTGGTGTGGATTATGTCTCAGGGCATGTTTCCCCAGTCACAGGGGCTAGAGCCTGTCCCAGGTAATACAGACTACTCAGGGTGACTGGAAATCAAAGGGACAGAGGAGAGCAATGGCAGGCTCAGATTAGCTTCCAAGGTCTTCTGAAAAACCACAGGAGGCATTACCAAAAAGTCCACCACACAGAACCCACAGGTCCTTAAGTTCAAGTATCTGCCTTGTTTCTTAGAGCTACTTGGCACTGTGCCTGAGGAAAATACTCTCACAGCAGGCCAAGAAGCTGTAGCTGCTAAGGGGCCACCCAGCAGAGTCCTCTTTTGATCTCATCATGCTCTCTGTTGCTCTGAACTCTTGCCTTACAAGAGCAAGTCGGGAGAGAGTGAGAAAGCAGTCCCTGACCCACTTCTTGCCCCTACCTTTTTGGAGAAAGGCCAGGAAACTGGAGTAGACGAATGCACGACTCTGAAATGTTAGTAAAACTGTAACAGCTTGAAGGAGAGACACTGCTCAGGGCAGTCAACATCAGACACTCCCTCTCTCATCCCTAGGCCCGATTAGAGCAGCAGACAGACAGTACTATTTGGACAAAATTGCCCCCACTAAGATGAGAACCAGTGTTTTCTCAGGCTAAAGTCTTGGGGAAATTATCTAGCTAGCATTTTAGTGTGAGAAATGAATAATCTCTGTTGATTTTTAGTCTGGAATGGATCAGTAGAATCTCAAGAATTCCTTGGGTCAGAGAGTAGAGAGGAAGGGGAGCTGAAGAGAATGTGAGTCTGCATGTGTTCCTCTGTGCTCAGGCTCCTGTTTTTTGAGACACCCCTCTCAAGTGGAAACGTGTATAATGATCATGTCAACTCATTTAAGAAGGCAGGCATATTGATGGCACTCAATTCATTTTTCTCAACACTTACTTCACTCAGTTCCTATGAAAGTAATTTTAGGACTCCTTTCATAAATTATAATAAGATGGATAAGATCTATAAACTGATATTGGGTCTATACCCCATGCAGGGCAGCATCTGTATGCAAAATTAAAATATATACAATTTTAAGGTGTTCAGAAAGAAAGTTTTTAATGAAGACAGCAGTGGATCCTTGTCATAGAAAACTTTCAGAGTTGTAAACGATGGGAAGAGCACAGAGCCCCTCAAAGGAATTAGCAAATCCACACAAAGAGCTTCATTTCAAGTTTGGTTCAGTTTTCCAGATTTGGAAAGAGCTTATTAGAATGAACTGAGCTTCTCTAGCAAGCACGATGGGTAATAATTTCACAAGTAGTGGTTGTTTTCGTAAGATTTCTGGAACTAACTATCCTGACTGACCTTATTCTGAGAACATTTTGGTGATATTTCAACATTTCTGGTTCTGGCAGCAAAACGTGGAAAAAGAATCATCACCTGACACTTAGTCAAATGTTTCTTTAAATAAAAGGCTTAGTTTGCATTTGGTTGTAAAGCAGAGTGGAGAATGTGAGACCATTTTTTTTCCAAATGAGATTGCTCATTCCTACAGGAAATGACCTCGTTCTTGATGGCTGCTGCTAATTTATGGTAAGGCACTAGGTTTCTCTCCAATGCCACATGGACATCCAATCAATTTACCCAGGGACAAGTCCACTCAAGAGCATCGTTTAGGAGAGGAAAAAAGTGTTGGAGTTATTTGTTGCTGAAGTATGTGTTGAAGAAAATTTAGTGGTAAGCACTTCATGAGCATTACTAATAGTGTTGGAATCTATAAAAACATTCATGCAAAATTCCGGTTACTTTGTAAGCAAAAAAATGAATTTTATTTCACTGCATATATGAGAAATATCTGAGATCATGGATGAATGATCAAGAAATACTTTCAACTAATTTGTCATATTAATATTTGTAATAATAAAAAGTTGAAATATGTATTATGAGAATATATAGTATATGTGTGTGTATATATATATAAAATGAATATATATTTATATTTATATATATAAAATGAATCAACAAAAAATAAAGAAGTAAAAGAAGTACTTTTGGGGGCAGGGTTGTGGCTCAGTGGTAGAGCACTTGCCTAGTATGCATGAGGCACTGGATTTTATCCCCGGCACCACATAAAAATAAAAACAAATAAAATAAAGGTATTTTGTCCATCTGCAACTAAAAAAAAAAATTATATTAAAAAAAAGAAGAAATACTTTTGAAGTGTAAGGCCTGACAAGAAGGAGAAAACCACATTGCAAACAACTTACGCAATTCTTCTGGCAAGTTGCTTGTTTTCAGAGTTCCTCTCACTGGAGGGTTACTAGGGGGTCTAGGCACAGCAACTGGGGGTGGAGCCTGGGGTCCCTGTGGTCTCAGCTCTGCAGGATGTTCCAAGGACTCCTTAGGAGCTCCAGCTCCATTAGGTGGCTGGTGATACTGCTGGTCCCTGGAGAAGAATGTGTTTTCAGTAAATTCTCTCTCTCTCTCTCTTTTTTTTTTTTTTAACAAAAGCAAATCTTGGGACACAGAAAGCCTTTAATAACTGTAGGAAAATACCAATGAACTTTATTTCTCCTCTGCCTTCATTTCTTATCAGAGAACAGAAAGAAGAGCTTCATGGAGTTTCTGTCAATAAGCAATTCAGCTGGCTGCCATATGTAAGGACCTGTGCTAAGGGTCAAAAGAGAGAAGCAGGATTTGATTTCTGTATTCAAGGACTGTTTAATTAGAAAATAAGTCTCAAGCAGGGGGGCAGACAAGGTCATCAACAAAACCAAGTAGTGTGATGGTGACATAGGTTGATGTTATAAGCATTCAGATTGAAAAGACATGACTTTTAGCTCATGATAGATAACATTTAATCATGTATCAAAAGGTAAAAAAAAAAAAGTCATGTAGGTTTTAAAGTATTTAAGTTATTAATATATGAATGAAAATCTGATTCCGAAGAACCTTTAGAAAAATATCTACCACACTGTGTTATGGTATGCTGGCTTTTTGATTCTCCACCTTCCTGCATGTCAGAGTGGTCCTACTGTGTGGGATTGCTCTGTGATCATTTTCTGAAGCCCAGCCTAAAGCTTCCTCCTCTAACCTTCAACAATTCTGTAAGCACTCAATTCCCTATCCTTTCTATCTAAAATAGCTAGAATTGTTCTTATTTTCTGCAAATGAATCCTAGCTGTTAGGGAGACTTAAAACTGTACATCTAACATTTTATTTCACTAAAAACTATTCTGCAAATGTGGCAATATGTTAAAATTTTTAATATCTGGATAGTGGAAACACAAATATTTGTTATTTGCTATCTATTTGAAATTATTTCATTGTGTATATGTGTGTGTGGTACTGGAGATTGAACCCATGGTGCTATACCATTGAGCTACATCAAACTTAAAATAGTCCTGCCTCAGCCTCCTGAATATTTGAGATTATAGTGTGTGCCACTGCACTAAGCTTACATTATAAATTTTTTAAAAATGTTTTGATTACAAATCTATGTGTTTATGCTTTCTATAGATTATTGCTTATTCTTTCATATTTTTATATAAGCATCATAAAACATTCTTAAAAGTCTAACATAACAAGATTTAAAATAAAATTATACAACATCTCAACTATATTTCTAAAATATGAATGTTTAAGAATGTTATTTTACTTTACATTTTTATTAATATAGAGAAAATAATTTCTATAAAATATACTTTCATCTAATGGAGATTCAGTTCCTCACTCTTTTGCATTAAATCTTTTTATACCAAAAATCACTTAGTTGTTATGAAAGATGATTGTTAGTTTGATAAAGAAGTATTAAGGCCTTGATAATATTAAAAAACTTCCATGTAAAAACAACATCATGGAGATTAATGATAGAATAAACTTTCTCTATTAAGATTATCTTCCAAGTTATCAGTAAGAGGAGAATTAGCTCCTTACCTGAACTCATTTTTCATTATTCTAAAATGATAAAATAAATCAAGGAGACCATAGCAGAGTTAAATTGATGTTATAAAACCAATTACTCTGTAGTACCATTGCAATTGTTCTGTAAATCTAAAGTTATTTTTTTAAAAAGTTTATTTAAAAAATTACAATTTCCTCCCCTATTCAATACCAAACTTAGAGATGCTTAAATTTTGTTTATTTTCTTATATGATTATCCTGCTATAAAAATCTCTTTTTTACTAGGCACAGTAGTGCATGCCTGTAATCCCAGCAGCTTAAGAGGCTGAAGTAGGAAGATCACAAGTTCAAGGCCAGACTCAGCAACTTAGCAAGATCCTGTGTCAAAATAAAAAATAGACATGGGCTGGGAGTGGTTAAGCACCCCTGGGTTCAATCCCTACTAACACACACAAATTGCATTTTACTTAATTCCATTATTTTTGTTTGAGAAAAAAGAGGTGTCTGTCTGGAAAGAAAATATAAGGGTTTATGAACTTTCTAGAAAAGGGGAAATCAGGCATATAGCTTATTTGCCAATGTTAATGAGTGAGCTATTTTCCTTTCAATAAAAATTTTGAGCTAATTACCAATTTCTGTAGTTCTGAAAAATCTACTTTAATAGGATCTCCATATCTCATTCAGTTCTATAAAAACAGAATATAGTTTTAGAGTGGCATGTGAAAGTTCTACTTGAACAAGAGCAAACATTTCATCTTTCTTTCCAATTTCATCATAAATTAGGAAGCTTCATTTATGAGTCTTATATAAATTAGATTCATAAATTAAGAAAAGAAAAATTTGAGAGTGAAAAGAGCAATAAGGAGAAAAATGACTGAAAGATGATATGATCTGGATATAGTTTGAGTATGTTCCCCAAGGGTTCCTGGGTTGGGAGGTTGGTTCTCAGTGTGACAGTGCTTAGGAGACATTGTGGAACCTTTGAGGGGGGGGTTCTAGTGGGAAGTAATTAGGTCATTGAGGATGCTGCCCTTGAAAGGAATTGATATAGTTCTCATAGGAACCTGGATAATTCTTCTTTTTTTCTAATATTTTTAATTATAGATGGACGCAATACCTTTTTTGTATTATTTATTTTTATGTGGTGCTAAAGATTGAACCCAGTGCCTCACAGGTGCTAGATAAGCACTCCACTACTGAGCTACAACCCCAGCCCTGACCCTGGTTAATTCTTAAAAGAGAGTTGTTATAAAGAGCAAACCTAAAAAGTTGGGAGTAGTGGCACCACATATCTGTAATTCCAGCTGCTTGGGAGGCTGAGGCAGAAGATCACAAGTTCAAGAGTTCAATGCTACCCTGGAGAACATAGCAAGACTCCTATATTTAAAAAAAAAATAAAAGCAATACTTCTGCCATCATGTCAGTCTGCTATGATGTAAGGCGGTGAAGAGGGTCCTCACTGGAGACTAAATAGATATAGCCACAGATCTTAGACATTCAGCCTTCAAAACTATGAGCTAAATAAATATCTTTTCTTTTTAAAGTATCTTGCTTTAGATATTTTGTTAAACCAATGGAAAAAAGAGTTAGACAACTGAAGTCATAAAAAATCAGAATTCCTTTTCTGGAAGAAGCCTAGGAGAGGGCCAATAATGGTACTCAACGTGTATGAACGTTTTCATTACAAAAGATAATGACAGGTTATTTAAAATTTCTATTTGGAATTAATTGAATTTTAAAATTTAAAGGAATAAGATTAAACAGGAACACAAACAAGGAATATAAAAATAATTTTATAGAAGTAGAAGTTGATATTAAAAACAAAAACTATTTTGCAACTAAAAGTTCAGGTGATCTGAAAGTAAATGAAGAAGGTGTAACTCAGAGAATATCTTAAGAGCTTTCCCTTGAAAGGCATTTTGACTAGTCATTAGTGGCTTTTCTATAACTGGTAAAGAGATACTTGTCAACTAGTTTCCACTTCCTTCTGACCTGAAAAGTTTACAGTGGGTGGTTCCACTGTGTGACTGTCACTAACCTGGGCAGTAAACCTACAGAGAATTTTGAAACATCTTTGTTGCACTGTCATGATGCTTTCTCATGTTAGAAATATGTGAAGGTTAGCCCTGCCATACTTACTGACACCTTGGAAGTCCTGGAAAGGAGTAGTCTCTTTGTATAGGCCTCTCTTCTTGGTGCCAGGGACTGGGATAATTAGGGATGACCTTCTGCACAGGTGGCAGGCCTCTCACAGTTGGCTGGATCACTTGTTGGTAGGCTGCTCGAGGGTAGTTGTGGCCATCTGTAGGTGAAGACAACAAGGAGAACAGGGATGATGGACTTCAACTCCTTTGTAAAACAGGAGAGGTAAGTTCAGTGAAAATGTTTGTCTCCATACCAACAGAGGGGTCTGGGTATAAGCTACCATCTCCATGATATTTTTCTTATTTCTGTACCACTACTTAATAGTTCTCTCAAAATTGATTCACTTTTTTTTCCCTAAATAAAAAAATTTATGCAATCACAAGTTTGGTCTTCTAATTAGAAAGCTCAAAGAACTTTTAAAAAACTCTATATGGACTCCTGTTTTAATAAGATACTTAAGATAAAACAACCATGAAGACCTTCTCTCACACCATCATTCCTACCATAATTTCCCAAGGGTCCAGAACCCAAGACTAGGAGAAATTGTCCTAATGATAGATACAGAATTGCTATTCTCTCCTCTCCACCCCTTTGCATACACACACACTCCACTTCATCTTTTGAAGAGTAAATGAATGAAAACTTGACTCATCCCTCTGGGAAATTTAGCCAACCAGTCAACAACATCTTCCAGCTTCCATGGTCTCTCTTGCCTATGTGCACTTAGGGCCAGGGCAATTTGATGAGGACAGGGATTGGAGTAAAGCCAGGGCTGACAGGGACTTATGTGAATGTGTAACCTGAAGGAAGTTGGCTCTAGCCAGACCCAGAAGTAGCAGGGTCCCCAGGGAAGAAGGGCAATTCAACTGATCAGATAAGAGAACTGAAGAGAGATATAGAGATAAATATAGGAAACCAGTCTGGGAACCCAGACAGGGTGAGTGAGGTGGCCTGTGAGGGAACCGCTCAGGCCCAGAGAGGCTAAAGCTTGGGGAAATCTGAGAGGTTCAAGGAAACTGGAGAGAACTAACTGGATGGCCCTTTAGGATGAACCATGAGCATCTTCTGGTGGCCCAAGCACTGCCACCTCTGCCCAGGTTAGAAGTAGGATGATCCAGTGAGCATAACTACTTGGGACAAGAAGGATCTTTAAAAAAAAAAAAAAACATGTATTTTTTGGTTTTAATTCTTTTTCTGATTTTAAATAATTTCTGATTATAAGTAACATTCATGTTTGTCTGCCATGTAAGTAGGCTATATGCAGGGACGCATGGTGTAATAAAACTGTCAAGAAAGTATCTTGTAAGTGTCAAGCAAGAAAGCATCAGGTAAGGTAGATTGGAACCAGAATTGAGAGGTGAGAATGAGGCTAAGAATTTAATTTCTAGTTTTGTAGGCAGTCAAGTAGCCATGATGTTTTCAAGGAAATAAACAAGGAAGTGATGAACACGAGTTCAGAACAGAAGACAATGTACATGTCATTAGTGTGGTTGCCTCCAGGTCCTCCTCTGGACTCAGCAAACTTGGTTGGGTGACCCTGGTAATGTGCCCAAGCCAGTCTCATGCCTGGTCAAATTCCCTGGAGTCAATCTATTGTCTGTTTTAACACTGACATCAGCAGGGTCCTTTCTGTCATGATTCCTCTGGCAAAAGTGAGCATGCCCCCCAACCTGTGTCATCTCCTGACTCCAGCCAGTGGCCCTTGCCCTGCTTTGACTTAGGCTTGGTCATGACAAGTGGCAGGGTTCAAGGAAGGGACAAAGGAGAAAGAGATCTGATAGGGCCTACCCAGCATCCAGATGATGAAAGAGACCAGGAATCAGGGGGCAGCTCCATGAGTGGCAAGTGAGATCTCTGTGGTCCAGGACAAGATATTTCACAGAGGCTTTCCTTTTACTGCCTTTTTATTTTTATTTTGAGACAGGGTCTCACTAAGTTGCTAAAACTGGCCTTGAACTTGCAATCTTCCTGCCTCAGCTTCCTGAGTCTGGGATTACATGTGTGAGCCATAGCACCTGGCTGCTTTTACAGCCTGCTTAGGGCAGACCGGATACATTCCAGGGAGTCTAGATTGCCAGTTAGAGTTTCAGGGCAACAGGGTAGGTCACTACTGCTGCTCCAGCTAGAAAAGAATAAAAAGTGCCACTGCCATCAGGTAACCAGACAGGGGCCAAACCTGCTTTTAGATCAGCTTTGCATAATTGGGCCATTTAGAAATCCAACTATTGATACAACCTTCTAGACATTATTGCGATTCAGATCCACCCTGCATGATCAGATCTGTGCCCTTCTTGATCTTATCTCTCCTATGCTCTCACTGGCTTACCAGCCCCATCTTTTTCTTGAACATCTCAAGCTGGTCTCCACCTCTGGAACCTGAGTTGCCATCTTCTCTTCCAGAATGTTTTTGCCCTAGATCTTCACAGATGAACTTCTGTCATTCGGGGCTCCTCCAGACATCACCTGTTCAAAGAGGCCTGCCCCTTCATCCAGTTATCTTTTCCCAACCCCAATTTATTTTCCTCATCACTCTTCTGGGTCTATGTGAGCCTGACTTACTTGTCAGCTACTTGCCTGCCTTCCTCACTAGAATGCAAACTCTATGAAAACAGGGACCTTGTCTGTTTGCCACCATGTCACCACACACAGTACTGCTTCATGGGCAATGCTTAATGTGCATATGAAGCCTGAAAAGTCCCAAAGCTGACTTACCCACAGGAAGAGAAGCCATTTTGGACTCTACTGTCTGCTTGCTAAGTCTTGTGTTTCCTAAACCATCTACTTCTACTTCTTGTCTGGTGGGTTTTTTTTGTTTGTTTGTTTGTTTTTCTTTTTTTTTTTTTAAGTCTGTCTCCAAAAGTAGAAAGAAGAAAGACAAGGTCAAAGAGGAGAAACTGTTAGTAGCCTTGAAAGCTTTTCCAAGGGAGGGGCTGAAAGGAACTCATCTGAAGTTTTTAATATTGGAGCCATTTTTGCTTCCCATATCCATTAATAAGTGGCTAATAACATTTTATTTGCTTTAAAAGAACTACCAAGCTCTAATCATAGGGTTTGTTTCTTTTCCAGAAAGCGGATGTTAGTGCTGTTAATCAAAAGCCTTTGAATCAAGGTCATATGATTTCTAACAGATTATTTCCCTCACAACATGTTTTTGTCTCATAGCAACAAATCGTATCATTAAAATCACTAAGGCATGTGGGCTAAGTGTTTGATTAGCTGTAACTTTCATTTCTGAAATGGCCACCTGTGGTAAAAAGTTATATGAGCAGATGAAAATGATCCACCTCATTGATTTTAAAAGTTGGGGTACTGACAGTATAATCCTCTGTGCTGTCCTTTTATTGTTTAAAACAAAGAAATATTTAATATTAGAGGGTCAACCAAATATAAGCTTCCTTTTTGTTTCCCCCCCTCCCCCTGTAAATTTGGCTGGTTGTATGGAAAAGTTGCTAAATAAAAAGTGTGTTTTGTCAGGTAAATGAATATCTTTTCATTGCTGAAGTTTTAATCATTCTGTTCTGTTATTATGACCATACCTTATAGTTTAGTTGGCTGCTATATACAACAATGGCTAACATTTATGATCCCTTGCCACATGTCAAATACTGTTCTAGGAAGAATGTTCAGAATAGAATCTGAATTCAACATGGCCCTTGCATCCTTCATCCTCTGTCACATTATTCTCTCCCTGCTCCTCCTCCTCCAGCCCTGCTGCTTTGCTTTTGGTACTTTAACATAGAGCTCCTTGCTTCCTCATCTTTCTCAGCCTTTAGGTTTCAGCTCATCTGTCTCTTCAAAGAGACATTCTCTGGTCAGCCTATCAACATCTGTTCCAACACCTGGTTATTTCATTGATAGTATACATTATCTGTCTTTTTTTTTTTTTTTGGTGCTGATATCTACTTCTTTTGTCTCCCCAGTAGATTGTGAACTCCACAAAGATAAAGACCATGTGTGTTGTATTCACCACTATATATGCAGTGCCTACTAGATGACCTGGCAAATATTTGTTGAATAAATTGATAAATAAATGGATAGGTTCTGTTTCTAGGTTCCATTTTCCTCCCTCCTTTTCTTCCCTCCAAAACAATTAAAGATGGCTTTTGCAAGGCTTGACATCACAAAGACTACTCTTGATTAGGGGGTCACTCCTTTCCCCAGAAAGCAAAGAACAGATTTATTTTTGTTCATTCAACAAATATTTATAGAATTTCTATGGCTGGGCACTTGGTGAACTGAGATAAATAGGATACAGTTCCTTTGAGTAGCTCAAAATAAATGGAGAGAGGAAGAGAGAAAAATCTGTCTCTGTGTGGGTGTCTGTTTTTAAACACAAACCCACACTAGTTCATGTGTGAGAATGGGAGGCACACAAGTCGGCAACCACCTTCTTAAGAATCACTGCTCAAAAATAGTTTCTTACAGACTTATCCCCAGTGCCTAAAATTCCATCAGGAGAGTTTACTATAGGAGATGGAAGGTGGGTGATGTGATAGACAAATGATTTGTCAGCATGGTAACTCCTCAGTTCTGAGGCAGTGTTGATCACACAACAGAAATGAAAATCTTGCACAATCCTAAGTGGGTGCCCAGTACTGTACGTTATTTGTCAGTCCTGTGATCCTCTTGGCCTGTGTTCACATGGTCTTCATGTTACTAGGCTTTTAGCACTTGGAATTTGTAAACCAAATCCTAAACGAGGTTTTCCATTTATCAGTGAAAACATTCAACATTTTTCTTCCTTATTAAGAATGGTATTAAGAGAGTCTGTGAGAGAGAAAATAAAATCTGATTTTCAAGTTGTCAAAAAAACATCATAATAAAATGCAATCGGTTTAGCCAGGAAACAAAATAGCCAACATAAACTGTTAACAGGAACTCCCACAGCTGTAACCAGCTGTGGTTCCTACAAGGCAACTCCTTTCTTTATCATTTCTTCCATCTGGTTTAATTTTTCCTTTTTTAAATTGTGTGTGTAAATGATCACTTTTTAGGGTTCATGAGAACAATTGTAGGCATGTACCCACAAACTTTATTTTATTCTGTCTCCTTGGTAGAGAAAGCAAGAATCTTATAATAAAATAAGGCCTTGCTACACTTAATTCTTTCTTTCTCTCCAATATATCTGCATCATGGGTTTTATTTGATTGTGCAGTCATGAACTCCACTCTGCTGACCTTCAACAGAAGGATTCTGAAGCAGTAGAGGCTGACTTCTCCTGGGGGTGCAATGAGGAGAAAACAAGCTATTCTGTTTCTCTTTCATCTGCTTTGAAAACTTTTTTTTTAAAACATGAAAGGGATGACCAGTAACCATTTTTGCTTTAACTTGCAAAAAGCTAACCTACGCCATTTGCATGGTGATCATTATTTATTTATATATTCATTAACAGGCAAGGAAGTAATGCTCTTCTAAAGCCAAGTGGAACCACATAGCCATGGTTTCCAACTGCATAAGCATCCCTCAGGTGAACGGCTCTTTTGAAGTGGTTTTGTTGGCAATTAAGTGCAGTTATAGCCCTGACACGAAATTAAGCATTTGTACACCTGCTCTGAATGCTTAAAATCTGTGCTAGTGAGAGGGATCTGGAAGTAAGGCATACTCTGCAGGGCTGGGCTACAGGATCCATTAAAAAATAACAATAATAACTAAGAGCTGCTAGTATTGAGGACTTACTAGCAGCCAGCCACATTCCGGGTGCCTTTAATACATTATCTCATTTAATCCCCTCAGCAGCCTTCCTGGGAGTCATTGCTGCTCCAATCCTCATTAGTATTCTGGGGCTGCAGTGCCCTACAGGAAAATCACAAGCACTGTGCAACCCTGACCTCTTCCCTGTGATTAGGTGCCCTTGGGAGCCAGGGCCACAGTACCTGCGGGATGAACTAAGGCAAGCTCGTCTTTGTGCATTCTTAGTTCTGCTTACTTTTCCCTCCCTCCCTTCCTTCCTTCTTTTTTTTTTTTTTTCCTTGCTTTTGTTGTTGTTGTTGTTTGTTTTGGTTTGGTTCTAGGGATTGAACCCAGGAGTGCTCTACCTCAGAGCTATATCCCCAGCCCTTTTTATTTTATTTTTGAGAGAGGATCTCTCTAAACTGCAGAGTTGACTTTGAATTTGTAATCCCCCTGCCTTAGATTCCCAAATCACTGGAATTATGGGTGTGTGCTACTGTGTGCAATTTATTCTCCAATTATAGAAGTGATATTTGCTATAAAAAATTTTAACAAAGCATAATAGTTAGAAGGAAAATATTCTTGTCTCATCTTAATTCTCTGCACCCGCCTCCCAACCCTTGTCACTTGTAACAGTTGGTACAATCCTTCTGGAGTTTTAAAATGTATGAATAAACACATATAAACTTTAAAAAATGAATATATATGGGATCAGTATTGCATCTTGTTTTTTGACTTTATCTTTCAGAATGTGGACAGTATTTTATTCTATGCAATAGGGACCTTTTAGACCATTGTATAAATAAACCATAAATTGTAAATGTTCTTTGACTTATGATGGGGCTGTGCCCCAATAAACCCACAGTAAGATGGAAACAGCAAATCAAAAATGCATTTACTGCACCTAACCTATGGAATATCATACCTTAGCAACACAGTACACTGTAGAACAGGGGTTGTTTACTTGTTGAGCATGTGACTGTCTTGAGAGCTGTGCCTCACAAATGTCTATTGATTTCACACTGTTACAAAGTCAACAAATATTAAGTCAGGGACCATCTGTACTCATCCAGCCCCTTGTTGATAGACAGTATAGTACTTTAATGCAACACTGTTATGTAATAAACTTCCTTGTTCATATTCTTTTATATACTTGTTCAAAGTTTCTACAGCATAGAGTATGACAGATGAGACTTCTGGCCAAAGGAGCACATGTAAAATTCTGATAGTAAAATTGCCCCCCATGAGATCGCATCAACTTACACGCCTATCAAAAGTGTATCAGAGTATTCAGAACCCCACTAATACTAGGGGTTGTCTGAGGTTTTTATTTTTGCACCTCTGAACAAGGAAAATGTATCTTTTAATTTTTTTGCATTTCTTAAATGTTAAGCTTGGTTTCTTATGCATATTGGCTGTTTATACCTCTTCTGTGAATTATTCCCATCTCCTGTCCAAGTTCTCGCCTGTCTGCCTTTCATCATCCCTCTGCACTCCCAGGATCCTAAACATCCCCCTTCCAAGTCAACAGAAGGAAATAAAACAGAGGGGAAGGTGAACAGATGAAAGAAAGCAGGTCCTGAGGTATAAAAGGTGAAGCATTCCCAGTTGGGTGTATTTGTCTTTTAAAGGAGCCTGCCAGAGGGGACAATGTTTACTTCCAAAGACTGGATTGCTAATGGCACCATTTCAGGCTTCAATGGGAAAAACACTTTCCAGTGCGAAGATCTTCTTGAGATCCTCATTATTACATTGAGTCAGATGTTTGCTTTGTCTATGACACTGAGACTTTCTACTGTTAGTAGATAAAGCTCAGGCCTTAATATCACAAAGCCTTTGACTAAGTATTCATGCTTCTGCACATTTACCCAAGAAATTAATCAGACATGCAGATAAAATCTTGTGTGCATAATGTTTGCTGTAGCACCACTTGCTGAATCATAAAACTGGAATCTAGTTGAAATGTCCAAAAATAGAGAATGGGTTAATAACAATTTGGTAGATCTATCTGGTGAAATACAGTGCAGCATTTTTAAATGATACTGGAAGAAGTACTACTCAGTGTCATTTTATGCAAAGGAAAAAAAACACTAGAAGTAAATAATGTCAGAACCTTAACAAGGAATTATATTTGAGTAATGGAAATCCAAGTCTTTTTTCTTTTTTGAGCTTTTGGACATATTTCAGTTGGGAGGAGGTGACAAATATTATAGCTATGACCAGAAAAATTATCTTTAAATGTAGATAGCAGAATATTAAAAAGTACCTCATGGTATTATGCTCATAAAGTATTCCTTTTTTAACCTGGAAATCACTGGGAAATAAACATAGGCCTGGACTTGCCAAAGTTCAGTTCTCAGTGAGTCATACTTAAGGGAATCTACCACCACACCCATGCTGTGACTGGGCAATCAGAGCAGCCAGTGGCATCCATGCCCCTCCCACACCCTTTCTCTGCCACATCTAAGGGAAGAAGAATGAAGAGGAAGAAGAACCCAAAAGCCCAAGAATATGAACAACAGAGAAGTTTTCTAGAAATCATTTGGGTCAGCTCTCTACCTTTAAGCAGGATTCAGGTAAACTATCAAAAGTGTATCAGAGTATACAGAGTATAACCCAGACAGAGGCAGCTACTTTGTCCTTAAAATTTCCTGAGAAGTTTCCATGTGAGATAGGTTTGGGCTAAGAAAAAGCATCCTCTCAAGGCCCTTGCAAATCTAACCACACATGGAAGGCCTCTCTACATTTGGACAAGTCTGTGCTGGTCTAGTGACATGAGGTATTGATGTAGGACCTTGTTTCTTCTGTCACCCAGCCCAGAATGTCCACAGGCAGTGAGGATCACTTACATGGTACCCGGGGATGGCACGTTCCGGGACAATGGCAATAGTTCCATGGAGCATGTGGGGAAGGATTGGGAGGCAACATCTGGGCACATGCTGGATACCTCTGTTCAAACTGAGGGAACTCTCGAGACCTGAGAGGTCCGGGGAGGTCCTGAAAGCAACACACGGAGGTGAGGGGGAGGGGCCTTTCCAGCTGTCTGATGCCCAGGACATCCTGGGGTTGGGAATCGTACCCCGTGTCTATCGTCGGCACATCTGGGGCTGCTCGGTTCCTGTGGGGCTGTGGTGGAGGCATCGTGACTTGGCTACTGCCCGAGGAGTCTGCTGAGGCATTGGATAAACTTTGGTCTGATTTGTCTGAGTCATGGCCAGTGTCAGGAGAAGCTGCTGAAAGCTGAGATTCCAGCCATTGATGACGTTTTTCCATAAATGAAAACTGATGCTGTAGTGGGAGGGCTCCGACCACAGACTCAGGCTCAGGCTCACTGGCTGCAGAGGAGCCTGAGGAAAAATCTTTGCCTGGGTCTGGATGCCTCCTGAAGAAACTGTCTTCAGTCTCCTCCAGGACATTAGAGCGTAGGCAGCTGATCTGCTGGGACATAGGCTGATATTGATTTGCAAGTTTCAGGGGAGGGTGAACCTGAGGAATGTCTCCTGGGGAATAGAGAGGATCTTTAGGTGCAGACAAGCTGTTGGGCGCCATGTTTCCTATATTTGGAACAGGTGGTTCTGATTCCTCTTCCAGGGAATATTCTGGGATTGGTTTCAGCAACTGAGTTGGGTATGGTTCTGATTCATCAACCTCCACAGGAATGCTTCGGTTCATTCTAGTTTCTGGAACAAGAGAAAACATGCGATAGCCTTAGCAGACAGTTCAATTCTTGGAGTCCCCACTTTATGACCTGAAGGGACCTCCTTTAGGATGTGGTTTAAATTAACAGTAGTGTGACACCACTGTGCTTGCAGGGCCCCATCACATAAAGTTGTTTACTTATCCTCCAGGCAAAGCCGCTAATGCTTACGAAGATATTTTATCTGAAAGGCAATTCAAAGAAAGTGACTAGAAGTCATCCTGTGGTAAAAGTCACTCACCAGCAAGGAGAAAACATGGATGAAAATCAACTGCCAGGTATTGAGAAAAGAAATTATCATAATGTGGGGCTGCTTCGTGTGTGTTTGGAATACACGATGAAATGCATTTCAGTAACTGATGTGGAATGATTTCCAAGATATACTCTAAGATGTCAAAAAAAAGAAAGAAAAAAAACAAGGTACAGAACAATGCTGCTACTTTGTGTAACAAAATTAGGAGAGGGGAATGTGTGTTTATCCTTGTGTGTGGGTATCTGCTTATACCTGCGTAAGAGGTGTGAAGGGTTTGGGGGTATTAGTACATTGCCTTTGAAGATAGACTAGGCTGGGGAAGAGGAGTGGGAGGGAGAACTTTTGAACTTTTACAATTTTGCTCTATTGCTTAATTAAAAAATAAATAATTTTTTTTAATTAGAAAAACAAAGCACAAGTTTAAAACACACTGAAAAAAGGTCATAATGACATTTTCCACTTAACAATGTTAGGTCATTTGGAGAACTTAATTCCCTCTGGCACTATCCCTGCAGTGAAGGTAGCCATGACCATATGGTTTATGTGTGTGGTTGAAGTTAGAGAATAGAGCCCAAGCAATATTATTTTAATCTATAAAAAGAGAATTATTAGCCAGGCATAGTGGTAGTATATGCCTGTAATCCCAGTGACTCAGGAGGATAAAGCAGGAGGATTGGGAGTTTGAGGCTAGCCTCAGCAATTTATTGAGACCTTCAGCAACTCAGCAAGACCCTGTCTCTAAACAAAATATAAACAAGGGCTGGGGATGTGGCTCAGTGCTTAAGCACCCCCTGAGTTCAATCTCTCATACCACAAAAAAAAAAAAAGGAACTCTTAATCGGCATAACGATTTCCTTCCTCTTATCATCAATTTGTTGAAATGATGACTGGCTCAAGGGGAAGCAATAGGCAGGCCAGTGTGGAGTGGAGGCACGGGTGGTTTGTAGAAGGCTGAAGAGCAGATGTGGTAAAAAGGCAAGTAAGTGAAAAAGAAAAAAATCCCAGAGGTTTATTCTATGCAAGGCCTTTGTACATAGCATACTTCAAATACGAGAGAGAGAGAAAAGAGACTGTGTGTGGATTTCTAAATTCTTACTTTGGATCCATGCAGCATTTCAACCACAAACGTTTACTGAGGGCTTACTGTGCCTGAAGTCACTGAGTACAGAAATTATTGTTCTAAGACAGCTTTTGAAGAACATGAATTCACTTTCTCTTGTGTCCTGAACCCAATCCAATGAGAACAAGACTGCATTTTGAAATGCTCCCCCTTTGCAGAGGTGAAGCCAACAGTTTGCTACCAGATGTATCTTTTGCTTTTCTTTTCCTTCTTTCTTTCTTCTTCTTCCTCTTCTTCTTCTTCTTCTTCTTCTTTTTTTTTTTTTTTTTTTCCTGTGCGGGGGACCAAACCCAGGGCCTCATGCATACTAGACAAACACTCTACCACCAAGTTACATCCACATTCTTTAGTAGATGTATCTTAACTGCCTATAGAAAGCCAGGCATGGTAGCCCATACCTGTAGTCCCAGCTATTTGAGAGTCTGAGCGGGGAGGATCACTTGAACCCACAAGTTGGAGATCAGCCTGGACAACATAAGAAGACCTTCACCTCAAAATAATAAAAACAAATAGCTGCCTATAGAAAGTTCCCTGGCTGGCCCTCCCTCATCCTTCAGTCTTTCCCTTCTGGTTTGTCTCCTCTTCAGGTTGTGTGTGTCCCTTGTCCCTTGACTCTACAGAAAAGAGACCTCACCATCTAAATTGATTAGATCTTGAAAAAATGAGTAAGAACCTACCCCAAACCACGAATGTTCGCCTTTCTACTCTCTAAAAATGCTCACCATTGTTTTCCTTTCTTCCTTACAATTTGTCTGCAGCTATGAAATTGAATATGCCCTACAACATGCTCTTCAGCTGGACAGGAAACAAAAGTATTTTCTCAAGGGCTGGCTGAGTGCTGGATAATCTCCTGCTTGCATCTGTGAGCCCCCAGCCAAATGAGAGGGCAAAGAGATGCGGAAAGTGAGCCAGCTAAGGAGGACGCGACTCCAGCAGCTCTTGCTTGTCAGGTGGGTTTCCATTACTTCCACTTCAGGCAGCTCAGGGACAGCCGTTTACAATCTCCCTAGATTTCTAAGCATGAATGAGAAAATGCTTCTTTCCAGAAAACAAGTTGCACATTTGACTCTTCTAGTTGAGGGGCCTCCAGAGGCTTGGAGGAAGCTGATAGAAAAGGTGAGTAGAGTGGTTATTTCATGACTGCGAGTCTGAGTTCCATCAATGGTTACTTATGGCTGATTTGGAAAGGAACACAGGGCCCCTCAGATGATAGTAAATAAACCTGCCACGACAACAGCCAACCTCTTAGTAAAACTATAGGATTAGTAATCACTACAAACACAAAATGGACCCTGATGTTTTAAATATGTCGCTATCTTACTTTGGATCCATGCAGCATTTCAACCACAAACGTTTACTGAGGGCTTATCAAATACTCAAATAGCAAATAATTATGGAAACCTTACTGTGTTCTATGTGGTTCATCCCCCTTCTAAGGCATATGCTCAATAAAACTCCTTCCTTCTAAAATATCTATAAGTGATACAAAATCCAAGAGCTACAGAAGGTTATACATTGAAAAAATAATCAAAATTCTTTAAAAACAAATTTTTTTTATTGTGACAATAGAGATTGTACCCAGGCCTTGAACATGCGAAGCAAGCACTCTACCACTGAGCTAGACCTCCAGGCCTCAAAATTATTTCTAAAGACAAGTAAAGCATTATCCCTACCTTTAGGTTTCTTTTGATTCAGAACAAGAGAAAAACAAACAGAAAGGAAAGCAAAGGCTCTACCTCAGGGCCTTTGCACTTGTCATTCCCTTTTATATCTGCATGGCTCTCTTCCCTTTTCCTTCAGATCTTTCCTCAGCTGTCCCCCTGTTAGTGAGATATGCCTGGGCACAGTTTCTAAAATTTTTACACTCTCCTCCCACTCTGTTCTCCCTTGCTTGTTTTTCTCCTCTATAGCAATAATCACATCTTATATAGTATCTAAATGTATATTATAAATGCAAATATATAGTAGATTACTACTTTATTGCCTCTCCCTTCTTTCCAGAATAGAAACTTCACAAGGGCCTATTTTTCAACTGTTCTAGTCACAGCTCTATTCTTGGCACTTAGAACTGTATCCAGCACTAGTAGGTGTATAGTCAAGATTTGCTGAATGAATAAATAATTGATGCCTATTTCAGACTGGGCAGATCTGCGTAGCTAGAAGGGTCACTGACAGAATGTTAGGCTCCATGGGGGGCTAGCAGGGAGTATCTAGTGGGCCAAGTTCTCAGGGCTCTTATAATTATGCCACATGGGTGACCCTGACCACTGCTTCTCTTTCCTACTCTCACAAATATTCATGAAATGTTCACTGATTGTCAAGCTGTCAAGGCAGGCCTGGGTCATGCCTGAGAGATCCTGCCTATGGGCAGGGTTGACCATAGCTGTCACCGACAAAATAAGAATATTCCACCAGCCAGTGCGATGGGGCATCTGTTTTTTGGTTCCACACAGGGAGTGCTGGTCTGTTTGTATGTCCACAGAGCTCTGCCCAGAACAGAGGAGGGCAAAGCCCACTTGCCACTACCACATGGGCCCCTTATGGCCCCAACCCTCTGCCAGAAGTGGCAGAATATGGCCAACTCTGCCAGCCCTCTCCAGGCAGTCACAGAGGACAGTTATATACAAATGTACATCAGGGCCACACGGAGATATGTGGGTTTTGTTGGAGATGCAGTTTTATCTGTTTTATCTTTAATATAAACATTGTAAAAAAATAATGGACCTTAAAAATATCATTGAGTGTCTCTTCACTGCTAACCATTTTCTCCTCTTTTCTTCCAGACCTTCTCCGTATACTGTGCCTGTGGTTATAACCCCAGTACAGTCTGTGCTGCAGTCCTTAACAGAAGGCCACCTGGATTGAAGTAGAAAATGCATGTTTTCTAGCGATGACCTAGAGAAAAAGCACTGACCCCCAAGAGGACAGAATATCTGCTCACCAGGACCCGGGACTCCAAACACCTGCATTGTCTAGACAGCCTGGACTCCTGTGGTGCTCAGAATGCCTGGGAGAAACTGAAGCCTGTCTGGCCTGGAGGACAGTGACCATGATTACTGCACTGGGACCCATCCCTGAGGAGAAAGGACTTGCTGGAGGATGAGGAGAGTTTCTGGCTCAGACTCCCCTTGTGAGGATCCTAATGCAGATGCCCAGGCCCCACACATAGGGACTATGAGGTGGGGCCAGGGCCTCCCAGTGTCTTAAGTCCCAGATGTAAACAGGTCCTCTCTTGCTTTGCCAAGAGGAGTGAAATCTGTACAGTTTGGCAATAACTCTCAGAAGTTTTAAAAGCTTCTGACCTTTGACCTAGTAATTTCACTTCTGAGAATTTCCTCTGCAGAGCATGTAAGTGCACACTGTGTGAAATGAAGAGGCTATGAAGATGGGCAGTGCAGAGAGGTTTATGTAGCCAAGACTAGAAACAACCCACATGTCCAAAGAAGTGCTGAGTTTTCAAACTGTTCTGTATCTGGACAATGGATATTTGTATCTTAAAAAAAAAAAAAAAATGAGGAAGTGCTATGTGATTGAAATGGAAGCAACTACAAAACTTATTAAATTCAAAAAATTAAAGAACAGTGTGTAGGGTATGCCACCTTTGCATGATGTAAGAGCACAGCTGCATGTCTCCCCTTAGAAATTAGGAAAAATGTTTGCCTCCAAGAAGGGAACCGGATGACTGGGAAGAGGGCAGGAGAGAGATCTGCCTTTCAGAATGGGTTATACCTTTTAAGTTTTATACCAAGTGCCTATATATCTCTAATAAAAATGAAAAGGAGCCAGGTGGAGTGGCGCATGTCTGTAATCTTGGAGACTTGGGAGGCTGAAGCAGGAGGATCGTGAGTTTAAAGCCAGCCTCAGCAACTTAGTGAGGCCCTGAGCAACTTAGCAAGACCCTGTCTCAAAATAAAAAAAAGCTGGGGATGTGGCTCAGTGGTGAAGCACCCCTGGGTTCAATCTCTGGAACCAAAAAATTACATTGAATTAAAAAATAAAAAGGAAAAGGAAAAGTGGTGTTGATTCTGATGTTCACAAAGATTAAGAACCAATGTGAATGAGGAACACATAAGCCTCCCAGGAGAGAGTGAACATGTCCCTCAGAATAGAAAAACCATTTGTCAGAGGGTGAGGATGTTTCTGGGGTGGGCATGGAGGAGCAGGAGCTATGAAGAGCCAAGTCCCAGAAACACTGACCAAACTGCGACAGTTTACATGTGAGTCTAGTTCATACTCCTGATCCGACTCCAAAGAGAAAAGGTTTTCTTGTCTAAAACCTCATTGCCCTTTGGGCCGAGAGCTGTGTCTCCAGTTCTTTGATTCTGACCACCTTTCTGATTTTATGATTCTGCCTTCAAATCTCTATCAGTTTCTCTGTCTCTCCCCGAGTCACTCACTTTGGTTTCCTTTTTGCCTCCTCAGACCCCAGACCTTTCTCCTGACTCCTCTATCCTGCTCCACTCTCGCCCCACCCCACCCCCAGCCTGGTTTTGCAGATAAGATCTTCTCCAGATGTCAGCAACCTTGACATCCTTGACAATGCTCCCTGGTTCCCATCCACAGAATTTCCCACACTTTCCCCCCACCACCATTTTTTTCTGTATATAGCTCTGCCAACCTCCTCGAGCTGCCTCCAACCCTGCTCACCTCTATTCCCAGCATCCTTCACCTCCTGTAGCACATTTTGCATTAAATTACTAGTATTTCAAAACAGAGTCTTTTAGTCTTCACAATCCCACCTTTCTGATCTCCTGGTCCATTAGAAGCTTCTTTCCCCCCCATCAGGCCTGCCTTCTTTTCTGCAGGTCCATTAGACCCCAACCTGGCCTGTGTGGGAAGCAAGTCTCTTTCAGGGTACACATTAGCAGAACTAAAGCCTACCTTCACAGTAACTGTGGTTTATGCCTTCCAGATGCTCTTTACTCAGAATCAACACTTATTTCTAAGATGTGGGAAAATACACAGTGATTGAACACATTGGCTCTGAACTTAGACTCCCCAGACTTGACTTCTTTCTCTGACAGCTGTGTAATTAGATTGACAAAATTACTTAACTTCTCTGGATCTTTTTTTTCTCATCTACAAAATGGAGAAATAGCAATACTTGCCCCAGAGGGATAAAAGAAGATACACAGTACTGAATGCAGAGCCTGGACCATATCAACCTCTTAAAAAAATGACCTTTGTTATTATTTTTCCTGCAGTGAGTGATTTGGCTTTGGAACTCTTTTTTTCTAGACTGTGTTGCCTGGTTTTATACCCAGGTGCTAAAAGTACCATATGAATCTAATGTATGGACACTGAATCTTTTTAACCAACATGTACATATGAGAGTCATTTCTAGCACATTTGGTTAGCATCATCTCATTTGGTCCTTGAAGAAGCCTGGGCCACAGGAGGGGGAGAGGTACCATCCTGCCATTCCTGTTCCACAAAGGCTTAGATACCTTATGTCGCTTTTCCAAAGTCACACAACAAGTGACTGGTAAAAGCAAATCTTAACTGTAATCTGCTAGGTCTTTCCATTAAACCATACAGAACTTTTCTTCCAAAGGACCAAATAGTAAATCATTTATGCTTTATGGGCTTAACACTGTCTCTGTCTCATATTCTGTTTCTTATTCTTATTTTAAACAACCCTTTAGAAATGTAATGATTCTTAGCAATAGGCTAGTATAAAGAAATCACAGTTACCTTTGGCCCAAGGGTTGTAGTTTATTGACCACTAACACAGATTATACTGATATACCAAAATACAAGCCTAACGAAGTGGATCTACCCAAGAAACTTTACCCTTTGTTAGCAATCACTTGTTAATATTTATTGAATGGTTACTATGTGTGAAATACTGTTCCAAGTTTTTTATATGCATTAACTCATTTAGTCCCCATGGTAACCTTAGTTGATAGGTACTTCACTTTATAAATGGGGAAACTGAGGCATGGGGAAGGTAAGACACTTCCTCAAAGTCACATGGCCAATAATCGCAGAACTGGGGTTCAAATCTGAGCAGTTCAGCCCCAGATCCTGTGCACTGAACCATGTGTATCTTGTGTGGGAGCATTGATGGATATTTGGGAGAGAGAGAGGGGATAAAGGAAGCCATGAAGCCTCTCGAAGCTTCTGGATTAAATATGTTTCAGACTGATTCACTTTAATGCTAAGGGATGTTAAAACATGCCACCTGTGTTCTGTAAAGCATCACCAGGCCGGAAACCTGCAGGAGCTTTCCTTCATGCCATTGTAATAGAGGGTACAGAGGCAACCTTAGGGGCATCTTGATTTGAGAAAAGCACTTGATTGGATCTCATTAAATTTTAATCATAAACTGAATTCCAAATAAATTGAAAACTGGTTGACAGAGCACAAACAAAGGGTGATGATAAATGGTGATGCATCTAGAGAGGGGATATCTTCCAGGGGACGCCTCTGAGCCAAGGACGGGAGGGATTTAATGAAGGTATTACGTCCCTGTAAGAAGACAAATCACATAGCAAGGAAGAGAGGGAGGGCAGGAGTGAGCAGCCTGGGTAATTAATAAACCACATTAACAGCTCCTAAATAGTCAAGGCTGGGTATTCACCAACTGCTTAGGTTTTTTTTTTTTTTTTTTTTTTTTTTTTAAGTATTCTCTAGGTCAACCAGAGGGTTGAAGAGTTCTGTGAACGCAAAACATGCACATTTCAGATGGACATAATAAATAAATATATAAATTTATAATTGGAGGATCCTCAGATTCAATTTGGATCAGATACTTTCCATTATAGATTCTCAAGGTCTTAGTTTTCATTCCCCAGAGAACAATTTTTAATGTGTCTTAAAGACATGATTTTTTTAAAAAATCTATAAACTCATTAATGTTCTTTGTTTACTGTCCAAATGCATGCAAAACTTACATAACATTGGTTTTGCTTAATGGCTCAGATTCAAACTCCAGCAAACATATGCTTCCAAGTTCACTTGCAGAACTTCCCTGTCAGAGAAGTTCTTCCATTAAGTTTGCCAGAGAATTTGCAACTGTGAGGCCTGGATACAAGGCGGCGTTTACTGATCCCCAGATACAACCCTGCATAGGAAGACTCGGGTCAGGCAGAGCACAACATAGTGTGAACTGACCTGATTTGAGGAAGTCTACTCTGGGGTTCCTGAGAGCAGGTGAGGGAGGAGCAGGTGGACTCAGGGGAGCAGACTCATTCTGCCACTTTGGAAGTCGGTTGTAAACATTTAGAGAACAACCTCAAGCCAGCCCATGTTCTGGCTGTCGTTGTTTTTGTTTTCAGATAAGATGGGTTTTTATTAAGATTTTATTAATTCAGTCCAGGCCACAGAGTGCAGGAGAGGAAGGGATGGAAAGGCAGAAAGGCGTATGGAAGAGAAGTATGGCATGTGGGGAAGAAGTAGGGAGAGAGACTCATTTAATTGTAATTTGTATGTGTCACGGGTCAGGTGGGAAGAGAGGGGAAGAATGAACAGAGGTCAAAGGCAAGAGCATTGCCTGGAAAGCCAGTAGCCACAAAGAGTCTGGACAGACAGCTCAGAGGAGGAAGCAGCTCAGGGATGCGAGGGAGACCTGTTGACCCTGAGAAGAAAAAGGGAAAACACAGAACTCCGGCCAGGACAACAATGCAGCAAAGGAAAGCCAAGTTCCCTCATTGCTGAGGGAGCTGCCAAGGTCCCCTGCAGCCCAGGTCTGCAGGGGGTTGCATGGGTGGGGGCTCCCCAAGGTCCATCCCATCCCTCCCAAATAGCTTGACTTCAGCTGCCTTGGCAGGGAACCAAGCCAATCTGGCACAACTCCACAGGCCACCATGTGGAGGAAAGGCCGCCCCTCCTCAGCCAGTTTACAACTTCTGGTCTCCAGGAAGGTCTGAGTGCACACCAGAGAGCACACACGCAGGCACGGAATGAGCTGGGCGGTCAGGCTGCCAAGCACATGTGGGCTCCAGGAGGCCTGCTGGGCGCAAGACAAGGAATGTTGGAGGGAGAAAGGACAGCCTGGGTTTCAGGAACTAAAAATATCTTGGTGACAATGCATTGAGAAGAAATAGGAGAGGCCCAGGGGGACAGCTTCTCGATTCCAGTCCTCAGATGCTTTTTCACGAAAGGCCTGCTGGATTGTTTTGATAAGGAAATGTGATCAAACATTAGGGGTCATTTAGTTGGATCTGAAAGGAATTTAAAGTTTAATGTGCCTCATCTGTGTGCTTTTTTTTTTTCCTGCAGCAGTTGCCTGCAATTCATATATGTACGTTTTTAAAGGCTAATCTAAAATTGCCTGCAGCAGAAAAATGATTTGAATTCAGGATATATCTGAGATCTTCATTCTTCGATGTGTAAAACATTGATTTAATTTAGACAAACTGCTCCACCATCATCTATCTTGCTGAATGCCTGTTAGAGTATGCCTGCAAATATGACTTTCTCCTCTCCTTTTAATTTTCAGAGCATTTGAAAGTCACAAACTCCTTAATCCTGGGAGAAGCAGGCTTTAGTATTTTCTGTCTTTGCACCCTCCAAAAATGAGAATCCCTGAGTTAGAAAGTTTTCTCTCTAACACAATGACATATTATCTAGACCCCCACTCCTACTTAACCACCCCCACGCAATGAACAGAGCAGAGTGGCCGCATTAACCATCTCGACCCTCCTTGTAGAATGATTTGAAGTGGCAGTACCAGATAAGAATAAGGAGGCTGAGGCTGGGGCCTTTGGAGATTGACACAAGATAGCAACTGAACAATAGTTTGCATGATTTCAGATAATGGTGCATCGTTATTTGAAAGTAAAACTGGGAACTTGCTGCAGGTGAAATGTTGAAATTCCTGTACTGTCATCCCAAAGAGAGAGAGAAACATCCAAAACATGCCAAGGGCAATAACAAGGCCTCACTATCCCACAGAAAGTTCAGCAATAACAAAAGCTCTGAATCAGTCTGTCCCAGTCAGCCAAAGCCTGTTGGAACTGTCCTGACAGAGACTAATTGCCCAAAAGAAACAATAACAATTTTTTTTTCAAAGCAGTGGTTTGGAAAAGGTTAAGAATTCAGCATATCCGCCATCTAATAATGAGTCTAATCATAATCATCACCCTTCCATGGTGCTAGGATATGTTTCACTGTTTCCCCTTCCATTAAAGGACCCCCACACCGGCAGCTCCAGCCAGGAGACGTTGCCAGCAAAGTCAGTTACTGGCTTCTGGAGCCAAGCTTGCCTGCCAGTTCTCTGCCTCTGTGAGCACGGGGCGATGCTTCCTGGGTAACCCAAATGGGACATGAACTAATTCAAGAAATCCCCTGTTTTCTCCTATGTGCCTAGAGCCAATGATGACGCCTCAATTCTAGACAGCCCTCCTGCAGAACCACTCGGCCACCCTGTCTCCTCCAGTCCCAAGGGCTGCTTTACCTGTGGCCTAGACAACAGATGAGTGAAACAGAAATCAAAGAAACTTACATGGAAGGAGCCTTGGCACCTCCAAGGCATTTGACAGTATGCTGGCTTCTGGGGGCTAGAAAAGTATAAAGAAACAAAGTCCCTTTTCTTGGGCTAACCGACTAGTAGCAGGAGATAAAATTTATGCACATAGTAATCACTATACAAAACATATCTTCTAAGACCACCCATTACGGCTACCCCTCTGGGACGACCCCAGCCTTGTTTTGTTAGACAGGAATGTAGACATCATCATATTAGTTCACACGCACTCACTTTACCGATGAAGAAATCCAGGCCTCGGGGAGCCAAAGTGAATTGCCCAAGAGATGGAACCACACAAAGTGGTGAGAGCTTGGAGCCAAGTTTCCTGTCCTTTTTAAAATGTATTTACTTGAACTAATTTTCTCCCATTCCTTTAAAAATCAACCCCCCTGTTCTAAGAGACCTCCTTAGCCAGGTACAGTGGCATGTGCCTATAATCCCAGCGGCTCAGGAGGCTGAGGCAGGACTGTGAGTTCAAAGCCAGTCTCAGCAAAAGTGAGGTGCTAAACAACTCAGTGAGACCCTGTCTCTAAATAAAATACAAAATAGGGCTGGGGATGTGGCTCAGTGGCCAAGTGCCCCTGGGTTGAATCCCTGGTACCCCTTCCCTCCAAAAAAGGGACCTCCTGGACCTGGAAGTCACAAGAAGCTCGATCAGCTTCTAAAACCAAGTACTAGTTTCTTCCCTTACGTGCCCCCAAGGCTCCATCCAGTGCCAGCAAATGTCTAGCTGCTAGAGAGGAGTGGAAGGCCCGGAGAGGGGCTGGGGAGGCTTACATCCAACCCCCACAAGCTGAACCGGATTTCCTGGCCTAAGAATGCACTGTTGATTTTTTTTTCCCTGCATGGAAATCAGGATAGAGAAAATTTGGGAATTTTCCTTCCCACTCTGTCCCTGACGTTTTCTGGGGCTGGAAGCCAATTACTTAATTTTTGCCATCGCCAACTCCTTCTCTGGAAAAGTGGGGTTTGAATTCTTGAAGGCAACTCGAGGGACACTGAGTACCTAACAAACTGTTCCCAGGCAGCTCAGTAGCTGGGCCGCCCCTCCTCAAAGAGTTAATCTCGGCTCGCCTGTTTGAAACACTAAACTAGCAACACATTTTGGCTGCAGACACCCACTATCATCTTCTCAGTCCAAGCTGGTCTCCCTACCAGCAAGTTAAAGGTGGAGAGAGGAGGGCAGAGGAAATGTAGGGGCAGCACATTTCAGCGAAGGAGAAAACAGTGTTTTGGAAAATGGGTCGGTGGTTAAGAAATCAGAGGAGGCAAAACAGCACTTACCTTAGATCCACTACGGACAGACAAACTGGGGCCCAAGGAGTGGTCACGCTCTCTGTTTCTCTGTCTTGGGTCTCTCTCCACCGACCTTCCTCGCCTCCTCCAAGCCCAGGTAAGTTGTAGAACAGGCTCTGAAGCAGGAAGTGGAAGTTGTATGCAAATCTCTACGGAGGCTAGGAAGCCTCTGTTCAGAATCTCCCTGTGGGCAGTGAATCAACGGCTAAGTCACTTTATTTTTTTAAAACAGAAACCTCCTTCATTCACTAGAAAGAGGCAGTGACCAAATTGGCTGTATTTTTTGTTTTCACCACCAGGCTAAGAAACTTCGGAGGAATGCCCTGGGCCTTGGGGTTAGAACAGGGCCCTCCCCAGGAAGATGTCTGGGAGGAGACAACTTGGGTGTTAAAGTTGCTAATGCATTAGCAGCTTCAAACGAAGAGGAGGATGGGGACAGATGATGGGGAGGAATAGCAAACAAGAGCTGCTGACTGTCTCCCCTAACTGCTTAAAACATTTGCTGCCCATGACCATGGAGGGGGCAGGCACTGCCCATGTCCCCTTTCCCCTCTGGCTTCCCATTTCTTGACCTGTGGTTATAGTCATCCCCTTTCCATTGTTTGATCAGTAGCCAACATAATTACTGTTGAAGGAGATGCTAGAGGCAGGATTAGCCTCAGCAACATACACGTATGTAGGTGCAGCAGAGGGTGATGGGAGTCACATCAGTGGGGATTTTGGAGCCAGAGGGCCTGGACATGGACCACCTGAGCTTCTATACACAGTGCTCCTGCTGCTGGATTTGGCTGCTTCCTGAAGAAGTATGAGATTAGGCCCTTCTGCTGGCTGTCACTCCACCCTCATGCAGGGGACAGCCCTAGAACATCCCCATCCAGATTGTCTCCTGTTCTGCTCAAGCATGATACATACCTACAGCAGATTGTTCAACATCCTACAAAGGAAGCATGGCTTTTGAAAAAACAGTATAACAAAGATAATACACATTTTGGTGTATCTTTTTACAGCAAAACACTTCTGCTGTTAAAAATCAAATATTGCCGGGTGCAATGGCACACACCTGTAATCCTAGTGGCTTGGGAGGCTGAGGCAGGAGGATCTCAAGTTCAAAACCAGCCTCAGCAACAGCAAGATGGTAAGAAACTCAGCAGAACCTGTCTCTAAGTAAAATGCAAAATAGAGCTGGTGATGTGGTCAGTGATTGAGGGCTGCTGGGTTTAATCCCCGGTCACTCCCCACCACCCAAAAAAATCACAAATATTTATGTTTATTATTTCTACATGCTCACCTGGAATAGTCACCTGAGATGTTATTTGGTGAAAAATATTATCCTATTCTTGCCAATGTATATGACAGATGCACACACACACGTATGTAGATTTGTGTTCATTCATCACTGGTCCCTAGCACCTAGGGTATGGCTCAGAACATTACAGGCAATCACTATTTACCTGTTAGATGATCAAATCAGAAATCTCTGTAAGGATGCAAGACTAATGGTGTTCACTTCAAGGGAACAGGATTGAGGGAAATAAGTGAGAACAGAGTGCTTTATTCTATACACACATTTGGGTTGATTGCTTTTCCCCCCACAAGCATATAGTAATTTTTCATTAAAAATAAAGTTTTAAATTTTTTAAAATGTACTTATTACCTTGACCTTGAACTCTGTTTCAAAATTATTATCCGAACAATCTTTGGGGATGTAGAAGCTGGGGTTGCAACTGAATGGTAGAGTGCTTGCCTAAGATATGAGAAGATGGGTTAGGCCAACAGCACTATAAGAAAAAAAATCACTAGAATGATCTGTTGGGGTGTAAGGGGAAATAGCACTTTTTTGTGAAATAGTTGGTACCAGGGTAGTTTGAAGAAGCTGTCAGTGTTGGGAGATGAGAACAGAAAAGAATAGCATGGGGAAATAATAGTAGGGAGAGCAAGGGAAGGGGAGAGATGAAAAGATCTTTCACTTCTCTTAGATGTCCTTGAGTGGATTGAGAAAAGCTGGGAAGATACTTCTTTCAAATGCCACATTTGGAACACCATCCATCAGGAGGAAAAATTGGAACCTTTTCTTCCAGTGCTCCGCCAACTATTTTCAGGGATGCGGGGCCTAAGGACTCAGTGGGAAGAGCATCAGTGCTGAAATGCTGCTCTTAACTGCTGTTAGCTGAGACTTTCTTCCCTCTAAATTCATCCTGGGCAGGAAGGCAGACATGTGGGAGAGTGGCCTTGGCTGAGGCCCCTCCTGAAAAGCAGACTGAGGATGTAAATGGTTTAGAGTGTTTTGGACTGGAGAAATTTCTGTTTGAACATCCCTATTGCAATTACAGCAAAATATGGGTGACAGGGGGATATCAGGGAGACTGGGATATAAATACCTCTAGGCCCAGGGGCTTCCCGCTGGTTTTCAGGCTAACACATCTAGCCTTTTAGGTGCCATCTCAGGGGATCATGACCTCATTGAGGACCTGTTAGCACATTTAATCCTCCAAACGGTCCTGTGAGGTGCATTGGTTATCATCCCCCCTTTACCTTTGAGGAAACTGAGGCCCAAAGACATTGGGTAACTTCTTCAATCACACTCATGTATTCAATGGAGGAGGATTGAGATGCCCAGCGGTCTCACTGCCAGTTCCTCCATTACCCACTTGCAGTCCGTGTTTCCTGAGCTCAGGTGGAGCACAGTAATTTGCTTTCTTTGCACAACTCTTGACAACACTCAAGAGGGGAATGAAAGGTGTAGGCAATACAAGGGTGGGGCTGTGACTGTGCCAGCTAGTCTCCCTGGTGCTATTTATACAGTGACAGCTGCAGAATTAATAGATAGAGCAGCTAAGGTGTGGGTCAGCCCTCCCTCCTGCTAAAAGGAGGGGAGAATTTGTGTCTGCTAGATTCTAGAGTTTGCTACATCTTTATCAGTTTGGGAGGCTATAACAGAATATCAGAGACTGGGTGGTCAAAGCAAAAAACAGTCTTTTTTTTTTTTTAATAGTTCAGGAGGTTGTGAAGTTCAAGGTCAAAGCACCAGTAGATGGAAGATGAGAACAGAAAAGAATAGCATGGGAAGGAAATAGTAGGGAGAGCAAGAGAAGGGGAGAGATGAAAAGATCTTTCACTTCTCTTAGATGTCCTTGAGTGGATTGAGAAAAGCTGGGAAGATACTTCTGTGTGTGGAAAGCCTACCTCTTGGTGCAAAGCCTTCTTCTTGGTGTGTCCTTATATGGCAGAAGGAGGGCTAGGGTGCTGGCTGGGATCCCTTCTGTAAGGGTGCTAATCCATTCATGAAGCCTCCACTGTCATGACTCAGTCCCCTCTCAAAGGCCCCACCTCCCAATGCCACCTACTTGGGGTTAAAATTTTAACATATAACCAACCAAATGCACAGCGACTCAGGAGGCTGAGGCAGGGGGATCACGAGTTCAAAGCCAGCCTCAGCAAAAGTGAGGTGCTAAGGAACTCAGTGAGACCCTGTCTCTAAAAAAAATACAAATAAGGCTGGGGATGCAACTCAGTGGTCAAGTGCCCCTGAGTTCAATCCCTAGTACCCCGCCCCCGCCAAAAATCAGTAGAAATTAATAAGTGTTGGTGAGGATATGAACAAAGTAGAACTTTTGTGCCCTGTTGGTGAGGATGGAAAATGGTAGTGCTGCTATGGAAAGCAGCACAATAGTTCCTCAAAAAATTAGACACACACATGGGCTGGGGATGTGGCTCAAGCGGTAGCGTGCTCGCCTGGCATGCGTGCGGCCTGGGTTCAATCCTCAGCACCACATAAATCTTTGTGTACGCCGAAAACTAAATAAATAAATAAATATTAAAAATTTCTCTCTCTCTCACTCTCTTTCTTAAAAAAAAAAAATTAAACACAGAATTACCATATGACCCAGCAATGCCACTTCAGGAGAAGCAGGGGCTTGAACAGGTATCTGTACACTTGCGTCCGCAGCTGAGATACAGAAACAACCCAGATGTCTATCAACAGATAAATGCATAAATAAAATGTGGTATATACAGAGAATGGTATATTACTCAGCCTTAAAAAGGAATCAAGTTTTGACACACGCTATAACACAGGTGAACATATGGATGTATACTAAATAAAATAAACCAGTCACAAAAAGACAAATACTGTGATCCACTTACATGAGGTACCTAGAGCAAACAAATTTATAGAGACAGAAATTGGACTGGTGGTTGAGAGGGGCTGGAGGAGGGGGAAATGAGGAGCTGTTTATGGAGTACAGAGTTTTAGTTCTGTGAGATAAAAAGGCTTCTGGAGATGGATAAGGATGATGGAAGTGGTTATGTGAATGAACCTAATGCCACTGAACTACACACTGGAAATGGTTAAGGTGGTAAGCATTATATATGTTTCAGCACAATTAAAAAGGAATCCCACAACTGCCATGTGAGGTTGGTTGTATTACTCTCATTTTATAGGTGAGGAGATTAAGGGGCAGAGAAGTCAGATAGCTTGTTAGGACTATACTGCTGGGTTTCAAATCAGATCTGATTCCTGGTGTACCACACTTGCCTGCACTGTGCAATGTGGTACCCCACTCAAGGAGCAACAGAGGGCATCAGGCACACACCAATGTCACAGGGCTTGACCTTGGGCAGCCCTAGCCTCTCCTTTCTGTGTGTACCCTTTCCCTTTCGAGACTGCCTTCCTCCAACACTGCTTCTCCTGTTCATAATCCCTCCTCCATCTTTCCCTCATCAAAACATGCTCTAAAGAAAACAAAAACAAAAAACCAATCACTCATTGATACTTAAATTACATGTTGTGAATTTAAATCATGCACTACCTCTCTGGGGGGGTGCTGGCATTTTAAGCCACACCAGCTGTGTGACACGAAAAGCTTTGTTCCATATTTAAGGACTTCCAAGTGTCAGGGAGCACATGGGGAAGAATTGGAGGGTGTGGT